TGGCGTCGGCCACGCCCCTGAAAAAAAAATTTTACAAGGCTAATTTAATTTTTTAACAAATTTTAAAATTTATTTTGATTATTAGAATAAACAACTCACTTGCACATTTTTATAACCCATGTAAGTAAATTCAATTTCGCGACCCATTTTCGGGGGCGCCCCCCCCCCCCTCGGTCCGCCACTGGCTCATACATACAGAAAAACGATCATTTTTTGTACCCTTTATAGATGCCCAAATTCTCAATGCTGATGTCTAGGGTAAAAACGGTAAAAAATAATTATGGGACACCCTAATAATCGCAGATAAAACTTCCAATATTATATGCCATGGTAGTCGATTTAGTGAATGCGTGTTTTTAGAACTTCCAGTGCCATAATGGTAGGTAGCAGCGGTGAGAAAACGACCATCATTTTGATACGTTCCTCTTCTATGCCTCAAAAACTCAAAAAAAAACTAAGCTAGCTTACAAACACTTGCTCAAGATCTTTGGCCATGGCACCGAAAAACGTTAAAGAAAAGAAACAGATCAAACCCGAATGTGCTTTGTCATCTTAATCGTAATGATCTATCCAAGTACCAGCAAGACTGATATGCGAACTGAACTGATACATTTCAGATGATCAAGTATTAGAATATTCGAGTATTCGATAAGCAAATGTTCAGTACTCGACAGTCACCGGAATTTGTCGATAAGCATTGAAAATTCCGGTGACCGCCGATAGTATTCGAGTTTCAAATGATATTCGAATCTCCGACGAGCATCGAAAATAAAAGTTTATGACCGTTGAATATCTGAAGGTTAGATAGTAATCGAGAAATGGAACCCTTAAATGTCCGACTTTATCTTATCCGAAAATTAAAAAAAAATCGAATATTTGAGTCACCAGTATATTCAGAGCACACCTTGCAAATATCTGCATTTTCATGTCATTTGCTTCAACTTTTTTATTCGGTTAACAGATTCGACTCGGTTCAAAATAAGATGCACTAACCCAATACCCTTTCCGAGCAAGGCGGCACCGTAGGAGCATTGTCTTATCCTGAATCTACAATTTGTTGCTACCGAGTTTAGACCGGAATCGGACGGAAGCGTTCCCGCATCGGCGCGGCTCGGGTACTCGCGAGCCTCCTCGCTTGGTTCTCTCACTGCGTTCACCCTTAGCGAGTACGGTATTTTCCCAAGCTTGAGGCGAACGAAATACCTATCCTTGAGCATCAATGGCTGACGAGTTTGGGAAAATATCCTAGAAACGTTGGCGAACGCGTCCAGTGGCCTAGGCGAGGCGACTGCGAGGAACCGAGTCGCGCTGACCGTGACGCTCTGATTGAAAGCGTCTGTACGTCTGCGTCTCCGCACTGTTCTCGATTATTGGCTGAAATGCGGTGTATAGTCTGTCCCAAGGGATCAGGCCGACTTCACTTAAAATTGCTCACAGAGCTAGGGTCGCGCTGCATTTGCGCGCTGTCCGAGAGAGCGAAGAGCTTGGAGTGAGACAGACAAGCTAGCCGCAGACTTGGCGCAAAGCACTCTCAATGCGAACTCCCGCCATGCCAATTTTGGCCTGACTGGGATTGGGCAGACTGCACGCTCGCAAAGCGTCTGGTAGGGAAACGAGCTTCGCCATTTTGTGCAGCCCCCAATCGGTGGAGTTCGTTCCCCTCTCCTAACTCTAGTACAGCGGTCGCGTGTTTCATATGAAATTAGTTCACTTCCGGTGGAAACATGCTGTATGAGACCTCACGCTTGTTCATGTGCGCAAGCCAGGTTGGCATGTAAATGCATTTCCATCGCCAAAAGCTACTATATCATACAGTGCTGGACAAAATTATAGGTCCACTCTAAAAAGTGCCATAACTCACTCTGTTGTCAATAAAATGTTCCAAAATTTGGTACAGCCGTGTGTTTACCAGCCTACTATCAGTCATCAAAATGGGTCTCGTTTTCGATCGGTTATTCAAGAAAAAATTGAAAATTTTGAAAAAAGCAGGCTTGAAGGCTGGACAAAATTATAGGTCCACCTAGAGTTTTTACTGATTAAAGGCAGTGTCCGGGCAAAAAGTCGATTTTGAGATTTTGTGCTTACCCGGGCCTATTCACTATGCTGAATCTGAAAATCCACATTGGAAAGCGCAAAAACGGCAAAAAAGGGCTCTAACGCAGGAGGAAAATTGGAAGTGGGCGGGGCCCTCCCCACTGTGAATTTCGCAGTCCCAGCTTCTGGAGCGATCTTCCCAATTCCTCTAGAGCTCTGAGATCTCCACCGGCCAGGTGCGAATGTATGACTTGAAATTGGAACCGAGAAGATCGCTCTCGAAGCTGGGAGCGTGAATTCACAGTGGGGAAGACTCCGCCCTCCTTCTGATTTCCCTCCCGTGTTAGAGCCGTTTCTCGCCGTTTTCGCGCTCTCCAATGTGCATTCTCGGATTCAGCGTAGCGAATAGGTCCGGGTAAGCAAAAAATCTCAAGATCGAGTTTTTGCCCGGACACTGCCTTTAAAGCACGTTTTACTCCCAAATTTCTTTTAGGTTACACATCCAAAGACGTTAAACAGCTGCTTTAGTCAAGCTGTGTTATACCTCCAAAAAGAACCGATTATCTGCTTTTTTGCCTTGAAAATGCCTTCACATGTATTTCGCTCCACAAACCTGCGTTGAGTGGGAAATTCTGCAGTTTTTCAGCTGGATCGGAAGGGCCGGGGTTTATCTACCTTCTGGATGCTTTTTGACATGAGCATTGAAAAAAAATTCGACTTTTTGCTGCTGAAGCAAATCCGACATTGGCAATACTGCAACCCTGAGCTTAAATTTCTGCCTTCAAACTTCTTTTACAATATTCTCAGAAGCATTAAGTAAAGTAAAGGCATTGTTTCTACGAAGGGGAGTCCGTATTCCATGGTTACAACTTTCTAGAGATCCTAGCATTTGGGTATAATTACTGAAATCACCCTACAGAAACTGATTAGGACAAGCACCAAAGCTATTTGTGGCTCCGACCAAAATCTTCAGAAGAATCATGTGCTAACATACACTACAAGCTGTATCCACTACCTAGTAAATAATTACCGTCAAAAATCTAAGTGAGGTAGCACTTGGCAAGCTATTTTAGATCTGCGTAACACCATCATTACGTTGCACACACAACTCAAGTTTGAAAAAGAAGCAGGGCAGCTTTGTGGACACTTGCGAGTATGGCGAAAAGCTTTATTCTTGTGTAAAGAATGCTTCTACAATATCTTGAGGTTATAATGACAATGCATGAAGGGTTTTACGGCAGAAACTGAGGCTTGCTCTCCCGATTGAGTCGATGTCGGATTTGCGTCAGCAGCAAAAAGTCGGATTTTCTACTCAATGCTCATGTCAAAAAGCATCCAGAAGGTAGATAAAACCCCATCCCTTCCGATTTAGCTGAGAAACTGCAGAATTTCTTACCCAAGGCAGGTTTGTGGAGCGAAATACATGTAAAAGCATTTTCAAGGCAAAAAAGCAGATAATCGGTTCTTTTTGGAGGTATAACACAGCTTGACCAAAGCAGCTGTTTAACGTTTTCAGATGTGTGCCTACCCAAAAAAATTCGGGAGCTAAGAAGTGCTTTAATCAGTAAAAACTTTAGGTGGACCTATAATTTTGTCCAGCCTTCAAGCCTGCTTTTTTCAAAATTTTCAATTTTTTCTTGAATAACCAAACGAAAACGAGACCCATTTTGATGACTGATAGTAGGCTGGTAAACACAAGGCTGTACCAAATTTTGGAACATTTTATTGACAATAGAGTGAGTTATGGCACTTTTTAGAGTGGACCTATAATTTTGTCCAGCACTGTATATATGAACATGAGTGTAGTACGGATCTTGACACTTCCACAAATACTCAGGTTATGACGCTTTCGGTCAACTATCACATGGGTTTCCGTAGAGGTGAAGTCACTCATAATACAGAACATGCATTTTTACTTTGAGTTGGTAAGATACGTGAAGCAGTTATGTTGTTATGTTTGATAGATCAATGGGATTTAGTCCGGGTCCAATCCGCGCACCAAAAGCGAAGAGCCCATCATCAGCAGAATGTTATGATGCAGACCGAACCAATCTGCGAAAACTGCTATGCTTCTTGCAACACAGACTTGATCATCTATTATGTGCGCGAAATTTAGCCAATTAGTATACCCGCAGAGATGAATATTATCGCAGGCTCACCCTTTGTCTTGCGACGTTATGGAGCAACTTGCTGATGACCCCTAAAACATACCTTCAAAACAAACACTGTCTCAACGCACTTCAAACGTCACAACTCACTTGCGACTATTTCTGTCTAAATGTTGCGCATACTCCTCCAAGTAGATGACTGTCCTCTATCGCTGTCTTTCTTGGCGCTGGTGTATGTTCATAATCAAAACAAAGGACAGTGTCGATGAGCAAAATGCGGTCATCGATGCATGAAAAATGCATTTAGTTAACCTTTCTTACTAACTTTCTTAGGGAACGGCCATAGGTTGTCGATGTTGTCGGTGTTGTCGGTGTTGTCGATGTTGTCGGTGTTGTCGGAGTTGTCGGGGTCAGAGACAGATTAGAGAGCGCGCGAAACATGGAGGCTATCATGAGGTCCTACAACGACCGGCAACCTCGGCAACCCCGACAACACCGACAACATCGACGACATCGACAACACCGACAACATCGACAACACCGACAACCTATGGCCGTTCCCTTAGAGGAACTGCTCTTTGTAAGAAGTGCTGAGGTCATCTCGATCCGCATCTCTCTTTTTCTTCTATTTGAACATGTGGCTAAGGACGTGGCGTTTCTCATTTCTAGGCTGATGGCAAAAAAAAACCTTGCGAACGAAAAGTCATTTTTCAGTAATGCATCAAGACAAGATCTGCTTGAAATCCTTCATTGATCCTCTAAAACTCTTCAGGAACATGAGCAATATGGTCGCAATTTGCGAGACAATGGAAGAGTGCCCATTGTCGCTAGAACGAGTAGCTATTGAAAAAAAATCAGTGCAAATTTGAGATCAATTATTTATCAGAATAGAAATTTATAAACTCAACAGTTCCGCAACAATGGGCGACTCAAGTGAATAACTAAAAATTAGAATCACAGAAAAAAGGCAACGCCGGTTACGCGATTCAGCAAAGCTTAACAAACATTCATCATAAGAAAAAAGAAAGGTGAGCAATATTCGGTAATTGCCCACAAAGCTTATTTTTACATTTATACATAGAGAATCAACAATAAAAACACGGAAAGGCGCAAAAGAAAATCAATACTTAAAAACACCCACGAGGGTGAAATGTCATTCAAAAAGCCCGTTGCTTGGAAAGAATATAGCCTATAATCTTGTTGTTTAGTAGATCATATGTCACGCGGAGCGCCATAGATAAAGTTCTCTTCTGCATAATATTGCGCAGGATCTGGATACCTGAAAATTACAAGTGGATATGATGCAAAAGCTTGCCGATATACAGTAACCAAGTTTTCCAAGACCTATAATCTGACAAATAGTTGGGAAAGCAACAAGAGCAAATTCAAATTGAAATGAGAATGAAGGAAGCGAACGAACCTGTACTGAATGAAGTCGGGAACAGTGGGGACGTCCAAGTATGGCAAAGCTAATACGTCACGATCTTTTACGTGTATGAGATAGGCCTTCAATAGTCAAGATGATGAACGTGCAGATTATCTAATGAATTTAGACACCTTTGTAGGATGATGATGAGTATTTTTTCGTTGTTCACGTGCGGCCTTCATTTCATCAGCTTTTATACGCAGCTCTTCTAAAGATGGCAGCATAGCCAACCAATCAACCTTTCCTTTGCCTTCATTGTTAGTGCTCGGCGGTACTGCTGCGGAACTAGTGGGACGCGATGAAGCTGATGAAGACAAAGGTCGAGAAGAGCTCTGCTGAGCGTCCTTAAAGAAGATATAGGTAAAAGAAAACAACTGCAGGATCTTAAAAACCTCGACTTACTTCGTCGGTCTCTTCCTTAATTGGGGCATTACGAGGAATGCGGAGAATCAAACGACCAGGTCCGGAACTCGCTGTAAGTCGTTTTTAAGATGTTCTCACCAATTCAAATGCCAAAGTCTACCTGCGGGTGATTCCTGTGAAGTTTCATGGCCTTTCATTTTTCTCTCATATTTTCGCTTTTTGCGCTCAGGTTGCGCATAGGGAGTGCTAGTTGATGCTCCACCATACAGCTGCATCGCATACTAAAAAGACGCTTGCTTTCTTCCCTAGTTTAGTTGCTAGTGTACAAGCTGACCTCCTCATCTTGCTGCTCACGCTTCACTCTTTCTTCGTGTTCCCGGATAGACGAGTCTATACTCATGTGTTCAGGTAAGTTCTGACTTAGCTCAGCCACCTATAAGCTTTGTCTTTACAACAGAAGCTTTTGAGAACAGACATCAACGGTTTTGCAGTATCCTAGTATTAAAAAAATTAGTTACTAGAGCGGACTACTAACCGATGCCCCTACCGGCCTCAAATACAAGGAGATAAATTTGAAACCAGGCAATGATAATTTAGTGTAACCCTTGACACCATTCTGCTATGAATGCATCATAGACTGCATTATCTCGTGTGTATAATAAGTGGCCCTCCGATCGCATTAAGGCACAGCAAGTAGAACAAACTTGTGTATTTTTTTGAAGAGTTTCTGGTTGGAGTGTTGCAACTTTGGGGTAAAAGACCACACTTCGAAGCTTTCCTTCATGCTGTTTCAGTTCCCCTTTTGTCGACAAATCAGTAACATAAGACCCCATTCATCTGACATACCCAAAAGCAAAGTTCATATTTTAAATTGGTCAGCAAAAACTTTATTACACAATGTTCTAGGTAAGAACTAATGAAAATACACTGAAGGAACTTGATTAGAAAACTAACCAAGTCCTTGGTGCTTTGTACAGCTTTGCGAGCAGCTAATACTGAGACAGTGGAAGGGATAGGAGAGGCTAGTGAGCCTACTGCTGTTTTGGTACGTTTAATTCCTGAAGACGGAGTCGTCGAATGGCCTAAAAGCATGGATCAACATAGCCTCAATTGAGTTTACTCAGAAGGCTTTTGAATATCTGTTCAAGCAGACTCTACCAAACCTAAGATCACTTATAGAAGATACTAGATGAGCATTAATAAAATGCAAGATCAAGCCAAATTCTAATGTAGTAGATCACTTAAGCTCAGTTCTGAGGTTTCCGCAGTGGTAGGCTCAGCGCCCCAACAGAAAAAAAAAACTCGCCTGTTGCATCGTCCAGCTTCCGCTTTCCATTTCTTGGATCTTCGCCACGCGCAGCAAGATCAGCACCTACAGACTGCGACTTATGCAGTACTCCGTTACTCGGAGATGACTGCTTAGGAGCATAGCTACCATTTGCAGGAGAAACAGTGGCACTACTCACGGCACTTCCTGCAAGAAAAAAATTCTGCTTACTGCCAAATATTACAAAGATGATGTAATTGGATGAGCAAGGTATGTGGACCCTTGCGCTTTTGTCCCAATAAGCGCAGAGATCCACATACCATTGTAATGGCACCTTTTTCGATGGAATACCACTACAATGGTTAACTTTGAGTTTAGCACAGTCTTCGTTGCAATATATACAATAGCTTCCTAATGTTATCGCAGATATGAAAAGAGTTGCGATGGTGAGAAACAATGCGGAAAACACATAAGCATCATTACTTCCCATCTCTTCTTCCAAACTTGGAGAATTTCAATTTTCAACTAGCGGAGTCAATAATGATTCTTATACGTGTCTTTCTTAGGTTTCTGGATTGACAACTACTTTTATCAAATTAACACATAAACCCTTACCACGGATATATAGTCTCTTTTCTTCTTTGAATTGGGGAGCTGTTGTGGCTATAAGGGGTAAGATTTGAGCAACCAGGGGAACAAGTGATGACTTAAAGGCAGCGTCCACCCAAAATTTGACCCCCCATGTTTTCGTCATTCTGGGGCCTTTCCGTGGCCCTGATTACATTTCCGAACTTAAAACTCTCTAAAATTCGCAAAAAACCCGATTTTTGGGGACCCATTCTTGAGGGAGCGGACGAGTTTTGAATTGCTCGTCCTCGTCGGCAGGCCAGCGGAAAGGAGCTGCAACTGCATGGGTGCAGTTGCATTGCAGTGTGCAGTGTGCAGCTTCTGCTCACTACCTTGTCAATACACGTCGGGAGTCACGTATTGACAAGGTAGTGAGCAGTCCGTGATGGGCGGAGTCTGATATCAGACTCTTTCAGGCCCCTTATCTCCATTCAGAGACAACGTTAGAAGACCGGACCAACGCAGATGCCCCTTTTCTGGGGCCTACATTCAGGATCGACACTAATCGGAGGGGGTTAGGTTTAGCCTGGACACTGCCTTCAAGAGAGCACATAACTGAGCAGCTTCGACACAACAGAAAACTTATGCCCCGAAACCAGTATGCGTAAAAAATTTGTGTCACTATTTTTCTTGTTTGATTTTTAATCCTATTCTTTTACGAGCTAGCGGCACTAATGAGGAATGCTACCTAACTTAGCTCCGCCTTTTGGCAAGCGACATATATATTTTGAACCGACTTTAAACGCTAATTCCAAATATGCTATTTCTAGCTGTCGCGCACCATTCCGAAGCGAGTTATAGGCTTTTCCCTGTGCAAAACTGGCATAATGCTGAACATGGGAGGACTGCCTGTAGATAAAAACCTGCAAGAAATAGGTGCTGAGTTCCGCTAGCCCATAAAAAATAGGATTATATTCAAGTCTCACTAAAAAGAAGCTTAACGCAAGTGCAGTACTTAGATGATGATGCCGTGATGACAGTTAGTCGATGAGTATGCCAATTTCGCGCAGGAAAAAGTCCATGGTTCGCTTCAGGATGGTGCTCAGCAGCTAGGAATAATATATTCGAAATCAGCGTTTGAAGCTTCAGAATATATATATGTCCCTTGCCGAAAGGCCGAGCTAAATTAGGCAGCTTCCCTTGTAAGATAAATAAAAGTAAACAACATTGTTGTCCAACCATAATGCGACTCGACCCCCATCTCGATGCGTCAAACAGGCTTTTGCTTTTATTTTCTCAGCGACTGTTTTAGCTCTATATTTCATGTCAACTCTGGGTACACTGCTACACTTGGTTTGTACTTTTGAACGGTCTTGAAAAATCACCCCTTGGAACTAGTAACGGCTCGACCGCAAATGTAATTTAGGGATCACTAACATAGAAAAGCACCTGCAAGACCAGTAGATGTTATTCTTCTATTTACCGGCGTAGCCGGTGTTACCCGACGTTGTAATTTTGCGAGACTGGGAGAAACCAAATTTGGTGTCCCATTGGCAGACGATGTTGTGCTTGAAGCAGGTCGAACCTAAAACTTCAGGTATGCGAACAGGCACCGTCATGAACGTATTCTAGAAACCGACTTCAACAAGTTTTTGCCAAGCTTTGATAAGCGCACGACATCGCTTTGAAACAACTGGTAAAACTTCAGCCGTCTTTTTTCGTACTTCATTTACTGTTGCACCGACACGAGTAGTCTGCAAAACAATCGAATATACAATGAACAATGAATCAGCATGCACTTCGGCAAACATGGAAATCACAAAAAACGCATCTACGACTACGCGTTTTGAGTTCAATGAAACCATTCCGACAATATCATGTGAAGAGAGTGCTCTGGCGCATTCCGACTAGGAATTTTATGCAGCTACTAAAGGACAGGATGGACTATGGATGAACAGTGCACAATGCTATGTACTTTGGGCATCTAACGCAAGTGCCAAACGTAACTTGTTCACGCATCACTCTCAATCAAACAAACATCCTCAACTCGCACCCTCACACTTCGACCAATGCTTTCTTGCTACGTGGTGATGAATACGGCGCTATGAGAATACCCTAGCAACGTCAATCAAGGATAAAGCGATGTAACCGTGGATACCGCGACTCAAGCACCCGACAACAGCAGTTTACCTCATCACGTCGCCACCTTCCACCAAACCCTTACAACTGTAAGACTGTAACCCAACAACCTCTCCACAGGTGAGTGCAGTTTCTCTACGGACCCCTAGCTATACCCGATTAAAGAGCCATGAGTGCGTGGAAGTGCGGCGTTTCGAGGACAGGGCCAACGCCAGAGCAATCAATAAGCGAGAGTGAGACGACGAGAGTGTGAGAGACGCATGGAGCGGTTGGGCAGCACGGCCTCAGTCTGGCCGAGCCGGGGCCGTGGATGGCGACGGCTCGGCACGACGAAACTGGAGGCTGCACGGCCCACCCCTTACCTCAAGAATCTCCTTTGTGATTGAGGACTTCTCGAGCTCGGATAGCACATCAATTGCAACTTCGGTTTTCCCCTGAAAAGAGGCTGTAGATCCCATTCAGAGGCGATGCTCTCCAAAAACATTTAAAATGCTTGGAAATGTGATATGACACATAAGACAGACGTACATAATGAACACATAACATCCTTTACTAGCATAAGCCAGCCACGGTGGGTCACTGATGTTTTTCGACTCGCCGCCACCGGACCAGGGCGCAAACTTTAGGAAACTCAAAAGCGTGGTCCTCGCTTACATTTTCGACGGCGGCGAGGAGATGTTGCTTGAGCTGCTCAACGGTCAGTGCGCAAGATGTCATGGGCACCGCCAGCGAAATCGTAGGATGAGTGGCCACAGCAGCACACGCCACCATCCAGCTCACGGCCTCACCGTCAGGCGTCGTCTGGCCGCGCGCGCGCGAACCACTGCTTATATAGTGGCGCCCGCCCCTGCCGCGCCGCGATTCGTCGCTGCAAAATGACCTCGTCGGTGAGTGGCGCCGTCCGCCCCGTGCCCCGCCCGACGGACCGCTCGCGCTGCCCGTGACACGCACCGCGTCCTCGGCCTCACCTAGGCACCGTGCTGCCACCTGGAAGAGCATCACGTCACCAATGCTTTCGGTTTTGAAGAACTCCCGAAATGTTGCGAACTACCTAGAAAGACCACGGTATGTTTTTGGAATCCTTGATAGAGGTGGGAATGTTCTACTTTGGTTAAGAAGTTGTGGAAGATACCATTTTGTGCTTGTTTTGAGTGATAGGACAGTATGCACGATCTAATCGCCCACTGGTTATATTGCGAACGGAACAGTAGCGCTGAAGACAAATTCTCGAAATCTGCTCTCATTTGGATACTTTTACTTCTTTCCCATGAGCTGTCATATTTTTTGTTATTTTCATCACTTCATCTGTTTCCTACAAGTGCCCTAAGCTAAACAAATTTGTACATTATTCGTTGATGACAAATGTGAATGGCGTAACTTTTGCTCAATGTTACGCAATCGCGGGCCTCGCTCTTCTTTTGCTCATGCGTTTTTGTGAACCGGAAGTAGGATTTGTGAAGAATTACCTGTTTGATTGGAGAGGTAAACAGCTCTCTTTTGAATAGCGATTTCAATGGTTTTGAGACACTTCGGGCGCGAATTGTTTGCCACATCTTCTCATTCTTTCAGTGAAGCTTGTGGTGAGATTTCTGCTTTCGATCGTTTTTGATGTGTTTTGAGTATACCAGAGAAATACAGGCTCGAAAGCGATTGTTTACTGCAAAAAGGGAATGTTTTGAAATATCATGGGACAATGCTGAAGATGTCTTAGTGTTTTTATGTTTAGAACTTTTTTTTTAACAGTCATGGGAGCTACCTAAATTTCTTGCCAAACTATCAAGCTCACTGATTTTTTTACTAAACAAAAGCGGCTGAGAAGCGTGCTGTCGAATCTGCTCTACTCTTTTAATTCCGAAGTTTTTGCTAGAAAAAATGGTGGGATTAATTTCTCAAACTTGATTATCGAAAACTGTCGAATTGAAGGTGAGCTAAAAAGCTCTATGTTGCCTTACACATACAAATTTCTTGTCTACGTCATAATTTTATGGGCCTGCCTTCTATAATTGCTCGAAAATGTCCTTTCTGTTGAACCATTCATTCATGCGATAGCAGATCACTCGATATGATGATTAGGGTGATTGTCAGTTCGACCACAGTTTTGTGCTATCAAGCTTAAAGATTGTCTTTTCTGTGGTGATTCATTGCAATGCGGAACAAGCTCCGGAAAAAATGATCAATTGATCAAGGTGATCGATGATCAGCGAATTCTGATGGAACGAATAAGTTTTTGGAATAACGTGATTCTGATATTATATCCTGATGGCTGTCGGACAGCGAATATGTTAATGAATGCGTCAACTTTCTTCGCCAGACGAAAAGCGACAATTAATATCAATCGATATCCGCACAGGCTTTCGTCTAATCGTTCTTTTGTAGTGATCAAAACCTAAGTTTGCATGTGTTCACTATTTTGACGACAGTAGATAGAGTGACTTCTCAAATCCGAGATTTTTCCAGTACAAATGGGAGATTATGGAATCGACAGCAAACCAAAGAACCGCACGGCTAGCGCGCGATCTAATAGAAGAAAATTGAACCTGGAGCAAAGGGCTGATGCTGCAATCGACGGATTCGATGACAACGGTCAGTCGTTGAAATCTTTCTTCATTTTAAGACTTTTCTTAACTACTTTCTTAATTTCTGAAAAGAACAGTGGAAGTAGCGACAGAGTTCTCTGTGGTGATTGCTTGTTTCGTTTACAATAAATTATACAAAGAGTTGCAATAGCGCCAAAATGTAGCTACTGGACGTGAATGGTGATGAATTACTTTAGCTTGCACCATGTGCTGCTCCGCAGCAAAAATGAGTTCGGGAGCATTGGAAAATCCTGTTTGAAACCATTCAGAACTACAAAATGTGGATTGTAATATTACAGCACGCTTTCGCTTTTCCAGCATGCTTCAGTTGCCTGATATGCTTGAATTACGGATCTATACAAATATCAGCAACAAGTTTGACAGAATAAGGCCAACGCGCAATATAAAATGTACTTACAGCTGCGAGTAAACTAGTTTTTGCTCCATTGTTTTTTGCTCCACCTTTGTACCCATTTTTGATATATTTTCAACCTCATAATTACGTCGTTTGAGGAATGTGTAAGCACTCCGGCTGTTATCTATTTACCCTGGTATTCTGTGAAAAGTGTGCAATGTTGCAACAAGCAATGCATTTGCGAGTAGTAAATGTTATCGGTTGAGCAGTCTGTAAGACGGTTTCTTGTCATGTTTGCTTCGCTTCCTTCTTTCTACCTCTTCATGTATGCTGTTGCATTCGTCCGTACTGCAGTCATTTATAAGTACCTAATTGTCACTTTTGTATCTCCTGCAGAATTTGAAATAAAATGGAATTAATCATGGCGAGCAGTGGCGATATGTCTTACTTATCTGCTTTTTCGATTTCTCTGTGGAGAAGCAGTCAATATAGGTTTTCAGATGCGTCCTCCGAGTTGAACATACGTGTGAAAGATCGCGCGGGGGATGATGTTGTAACACCTGGCAAGAAGAGTCGAATGGGAAACCTTTTTAAGGTAGGTCTCCTGGATCCATTGCTATAAGTATCACTCTACTTTTGATTTTCAACCTTTGATGCACAGGAGGCCCCCATCAAAGGATTCAAAGAAGGAGCTGCCGATGCTTTGAAACGTCCACTTACAGGTTTGTAAATAATCGATTTGTTTTTTCTTATTCTGTTTTACTTCTTATTATATTCGATTCATTGCCTGCGCTGTATTGCTTGTTGCTGATGAGTTGCGAATATCTGTAGGCTTTCATTCGTGAAAATCTATCCGCTAGCAACAGATAACTTTTATTGATTGATCCCAGCATAATGCGTTTTACGTTTAGAGCTTATGAGTTTGCTTGTCAGCGGAGAATGAATGCTAGCGATAGAAAGACAGCGAATATTGTTTCTTTTTTGAGATTAATTTAAGCTTTCTTATTCTTTTAGTATAACCTCGGTTTCAACTAGCAGTATATCTGATTCGTTCATCGTTCACTTTGTATTTAGGCGTATCAGTAAATCACTGAACTCATGTGACTGTGAACTGACTCTGCTTTGTGATTGGTATTTTTCACTTCTATTCTTCTTCAAGTAAAAGCATTTCAGGAATATTTCGTAGACCGGGGTCTCGTTCTGGACGAAAGCGAGATGAGGATTCAGTCGCTTCTGGAGTTGGTCAAGGTAGCTATGTTATCTTGTGTTTTTACCCACTCAACTTTACTTATTGCTCATAAAAAGGAACGCAAAGCGTCTTTCCAACAAGAAAAGAGTACTTCCTGAGTAGTCTGGACATGAATCTGCTTTTCTTCGCAAGAATCAAACCATCTTTGACTGTTTGTGGTGGATTGACCGGCGTCACAGTCGAAACTATTTCTTCACGCGCCAATTTTACCGCATTTCCCTTCTGTGCAAGCACACTATATTTACCGCTAAACCTACTCGACTGCATTGGAAAAACTTGTCCGTCGTTTGTTTGACAATATTTTCCGTTGGTGCTACCTACTCAACTTTTTTAATTTGCTATGATGTACCTCTCATAACTGGAAAGTTCCTTATCAATTCTGACAAAGTCGGGTCCCTGTTTAGCTACTAGGACTGGTGTTCTGGGAAGTTAGACTGCTATTCAGAGTCACATCATTGACCTCTGTCGTATTTTAGGCCCAAGTTTTGTGGATGAGCGCAGTTTATCGCCCGAGCCAGCTGCAACCATAAGAATGCGGGATGACACGTCACCAGCCGAATATGATGCGATCGCCAGAGCCCCACATCTTACAGCATCACAGCTGCACGGGATGTTACAGATTGACGCGTTCGCATCAAAGTATTCGCATCTTGCAAAACTAGACGATATCGGTGTGTTTCAGCATTTTTGATTCCTCTGAGAACTTTCTAGAGTATTTGTACTCCCATGCATATTACGCTTTTTTTCCATTTCTAGAAGAGGGCGAGTGAATTCTGTCACAGCGCAAAAGATTGAAATGGATTTTCGTTTGAGGGCTATTTTTTCGCTTAATTTATTGCAAATTTGGGACTCAAAATTAATCATTAAAGTAGTGTTAGGCTCTGGCTTAGTCGTTCGCTCAAGGCTCTCATCATTTTTCATGCCAAGTGTGTAATTCCATTTAGAAGATGTTTTTGGTGCCCAATCTCTCTCAAACTTCATTCCTAAATAAGAACATGTTCCGCAGTAATGTTTTGAGCTTACTTTTCAAGATTTCTCAGAACTTTCGTTTTGCTGGCATTATTACTTTGCACTCTAAAGGTTTTGATCGTTCAAGAATTTTGCTGTGCTGTTAGCAATAGATTGCTCACACTATGATCTTTTAGATATCTCACTCCTTTCTCGTTATCTTTACACTGAAGAGGAAACTAAAGATGAAGAGGTGCCATGGACCTGGGATTATCTTTTCGCATCAGTCTCTTCGGAACTGAGAGAGGAATGGGCACAAGAAGAAGCTGATGACGCATGATCAGCAAATCTTTCAGTTTCTATACTATCACATCATTCATCGTTGACGAACGTACTCTCTGGTAAAAACCGCGGTCTCGAGTGCTGCGAACTGTGCTGTACGTGGAACCAAATCTGATTCACAACTAGTCACTCTCTCCACTTCTTATGTCATGCGAAATTTTCTGACTTGTTCGTGCCAATCATATCGAATTTTTCCGCATCATCGTGCCATATCTAGTGTATATAGAGCACAGAACCGTTGGTTGTTGGAGATATTATTGATCTCATATCTGATCTCCTTTTTTGGACTTCAGCACTGTTGCTGCTAGAATTAACTATCTTGAGTAAAACTATCAGACTACTTGGTGTCAGATCGATTTCCCAAACCAGCGATTGTAAAATTTTTGATGTGTCCAACTACTGACCTGCTTCCATCATCAGCAAATAACAGTGACGTCATTCAACAGAGTGATTCACAGTTACTCTTACAATATAATATCCTCGAAAAAGTTGGATCGCCTATCGCACTATGACTCATCAAAATGCGAGGAATCTGCGTGCAGAACATCGTGTCGGTCGCACGCTCTCGTTGATGATAAAACCTAGGTCTATCGTCACAAGTGGGCCAAAGTCCAAATCTTTCGCGAACGAAATGAAACTGAAGGTGACAAAGAAGAGTTGATTGATCGATTGATTTTTGTATTTTCTTGGCAATGTTGCTGTTTCCGTACTAACAAGGGAAGGATACTTGGTGACCGTGGCCATTCATATCGATTATTGTGAGCATGCTTCTTTGAATGCTAGTTTGGTAATTCTCTCCCATTTTTGTAAAACGATAATCTGGATGTTAAAATAATTTCTTCAAGAATAAATCGCACCGCTGCGGGGGTCAACACCAAAACAATCTCGGTTTTGCCTTTCTGAATCTAAATATGAATTAGTTATTCGTACAACTGTAATTTGTTTTTAAGATTTTGTTTAGCAGGATTCACATTAGTCTAGACTAACACTAATTTCTAACAGTTATAAAGTATGCAATATTTCATAGAAAAAAATTCTATTTTCTTTCAGAAGATCGCTTCGCAGATAGCGAGGGCAGATTTGAATTCAGCGTTTTAAAATGCATCTCAAGGTATGCACCTCATTCCAAGTAGTCACCAAGTATCCGTTCTTTGTAAGACAATTCGGGTGCAGATGGAGTCGCATATTATCTGCATATTGTTTGCTTCTTCCCGCATTTATGACTGTGAAGGCGTTATCGCTTATCTTATCGTCTGAAAGTTAGGGCTAGTCTGCTCTGATAGAATCGATTCCTCTATATCAAGCAGTGCCATAGAAGAATGTAAACAATTTTGGTGATGTCATTGCATTGAATATTACTTATTCTACACTCGCGAGATTGGAAAGGACGTTTGACTATATCTTGGTTGTTTTAGGAACATAAAATGAGAGTATTCCGTTGGAGTACATTCATTCAAGGGACAAAAGGGCACTATGGATCATAGCTGATCTAAAGCTATGTCTACCTTGTAAAACTCCAAGTCTTCATACAAAAATATGGTTGCAAGCCAATGACGATAATTTTATCGCGTCGTGAACATTACTTCAAACGATGAAATGCAAACATGAAAAGTGCAAACAGATAACATGGATGTATATACACGATTATATTAGCATTACAATTGGATATAAGTATGTGAGGTTGTCCCAAAAGTTTTGTCGCCTTTTTTGGGTGCCTGACGAACAATATAGGTGTCATTCCATTTTAATTTTTATCCTTTTTCTAATAGCTATATTTTTTTCAATCTTTGCATTGCTATCGTCATGACTCCACAATCACATTACAAATTTCCACTTATCTCTGAAAAAATTTGCTCTGATAATTTTGGACTTTGAAGTTTCTATAATTGTCCTCTTGCGAAAAAACCCAACTTTTTGAGCACCCACAGCGCAGAGGCTTACCGAAAATTTCTAAAAAGCTGGCTTTTCGAAGCAAATCAAACTCAGTCATCATGCAGATGATGATTAATAAGAGACAAGCTTCGGTTCACAGAAGATTTGAAAGCTCCGGTGTTTTTGCTGCAGCCCTCTATTTCATGAATTTACCAAAAATCGAGATCTTCAAAGAAATGATTTTTCAGAACTTTAAATTGCAGATTGCAAAAGCTAAGAACACCTGTCTTATAGCCCGGGTTGCTCCATTTCGCAGAATGTCTAATCTTCTCGGGAAATTTTTGAAACTAGCCGAACTTTGAACAGATAGGAGACGCATAACATAATTCTCAGAAAGAGAGAAAACGCATCGCATACGCTTTGAAAAAATCACCATTATGCCATATTATACTCGTCTAAAAAACCGACAAAACTTTCGGGACACCCAATATTGTCAGTGTTGCACGTGAGTGCGATCAGCAGAGTTCATAAATTTTCAAGAATTACCTATTTCCCGAAATGTGGTAAGTTTCTTGCGGAGTCTATTCGCGTTTTATACGCAGAGAAAGGACGGAGTGCCACGAATCGTCGGCGTTGTGACGAAGCGCTCTCGCCCTCCAAGTGACTATCTGACACAAACAGATATTTCAGTAAGATGCAATGACGTACTTCTCTGCGTGCGTGGGGAAACTGCTTGCATATGGTTACAACCTCGTTGGATAACTTCTTTTTTATTTGTTGTTTGCCCATTCCTTTGCCAGACTGTATGTGCAAGAAGTAATTTTGAAGCTTGGAAATTTACAAAAACAGTGCATGAGTTATAAGAGGTAAAGGAGTAGCAATCTCAACTAGCATTTGGAAACCTCTTATGTGTAAATCATAACATTCATCTTGAAACCAGGAAATTTGTACAAAGGAAAAATATGCTGCTCAACTCGTGATTATTACATGAGTGATGTGTCTTTCAATACGAAAAAGGTAAAATAAGACGATTGGGAGCTGATAAGAAGAGGCACCTTCATTCCGTCACAAAAAGAAATGAATTGCGGACTTAATTGCTAGGGAAGACGAATTATGCATTTGTTAAAGGGTGTCGTAGAAAGTACTGTCCCTCAAGAAGCTCCGAGAACTGACGTGATTTCTAAGTTTTTTGATAGATTCGGCATGAATCCCGATATAAGGATGTATTTCACCGTTTTACAAAAAGGTCCTAAAGTTTTGCGATTTCACCCCGCAGATCCCTACTCACAGCGCATCCCCCTGTCAATTGTTGCTGCTCTCTTCACATTAACCCTTTTGTTTCCGAGAATTTGAGAAATCTTCTACTGCTTGGGGAATGTGGTACGCGCAGTTGCATTATTTTATTTTATTTTATTTTAGTTTACACTCACGGTGCACCAAAGAACAAAAAATAAAACTCTAACACGTCGAACAATAACAACAATAACATGATATCAGCTTGTCCATGTCTTCAATCAGATACACGGTGGACTTACAAGGTAATGCACTAACCTAAGGCCCACAAGATATAGCGAAAACTGTTCCAAATGCCTGATGAGTGTAATGGCTTGAGAAACAAAGAATGACTGGAGAGTCTTGCATCCTCCAAATGTAATCTGAAAACCCTTTTTGGGTGCCAGCGAGCTTACGGGCGGAAACTAGCTGACAGACCCAGATGAATATACGTTTTGGAGGATAGCAAGACTCCAAATTGAAGTGCCAGTTAAGGCAAGGCTTGCTAGAAGGCATAGAAGTAAGGCATAAGTGGAAGTAACCTGGGCACTTAGGTATGATTGTAATAGGAAGACATTAGGTAGAATCATGTATCCTGACATACAAGGCAAGCTAGTATGATCATTAGTGAAGCAGGGTGTTTAAGTTAGGAACAGTGACAAAACGAAAATAGATAGGTGGGAAGGGAAAATGACTCAATGTTTTGATTTGACTATCCAAAAATGAAGCGAAATGCATTTACTACGCTTACTACGTAGACCGGGTTGAAGATTTGACGAGGTATGGAGGGCTTGCGAGGTATGGGCGACTTGACGAGTTGACGAGGTATATACGACTTGGCCAAGAATGAGCGACTTGACGAGGTACCACGAATCGGGGAGGAGTAAGCGACCAGACAAGGTATGGCGACTCGACAAAGTGGGCGGCGCGACCAGGTATCGAAGACTTGACTAGGTAACGGCTTGGCTAGGCATGGAGGGTGGTTGGAACAATGGTGGATGGCGCACGTACTCATAACATCTAAAAATCACAGATATCGAGTAGCTGTAGCACATTAATATTTTGTAATCTTCTCTTGAATATTTTGGAGTTTTCACTTGAAACGATGTAATCCGGTAGAACCGAAAACCATCTGCTTGTTCGATAAATGAAAGAGTTGAAAGTCATCAAAAATCGTTTTTTTTCCTAATTTGCGATAGTATAGACCAAACCTACCTGATCGTTCGCTGCACGGTCTGAAAATCCAAAACTTGCTAGCTTTGAGTCTTGTTTCTAAGCGCAGAATTCGAAAACACAGAGTCAGATCATTCAGAACGCGTCTATACAGTAGGATCTGTAGGTTCAGTTTATTTAACCGTAACCGATAGGAGGGTAGAGCTTGTGGGTAATTAGGATTGGGAAAACATCTATAAAATACTATTCTGGTGAACGTTTTTTGGATTTTCTCAACTCTTTCGATGTTTCCTTTTGTAAATGGACTCCAAATAGGTGAGGCATATTCGAGATGCGGCAAGACATAACTTTTGTAGAGTCTCAAAAAACCTCAGGATCATTGCTATGTATGCCACGAAAAATAGTAAAAAGAGTTGCGGAAGACTTTTTGATAACAAGATCGATATGAGATTTGAATGAAAGGGAGGCGTCAATCATGACACCAAGATCACGCATTGGGTGATCTTGGTGTCATGATTAGGAGAAGAGTTGTAAACTCTTTCACGAAAAAGTTCCTGCGGCGCAACAGGGTGTGATCACAAATTGTCTCACAGAAACTATACAACCATTTATTGACCAAAATGGTGTAGAAAGACCGATGTCTTTTTCATTCGTTCTGCTAAATCTAGTGAAACCTAAAAGTTCAAAGCATAGTAAGTATCTAATTCATCAAGCAGAAAAGATCAGACTAGCCCCTTAGAATTTTTGCGATCCGTCCGGGCTACACTTTCTTCACTTAGCGAAAACAAGACGTGTAGGCGATGCATGACACGCAAAAACTGCACACCCTGCGTCCGATTAAGATAGTTCGTGGATGGGAGAGACAGCAGATGGGAAGAGATACGAAAAAGCGCGAAAGAGCGCTCGACCAGGGAGACGCCGATATGTCTGCAGTCTTTGCGTGCTGTGAATCACCTATAACTAATCTATGATAAGCATAGAATATTGAAGAAGAGGTTATACGCTACATATTATCTTGATTTGAACCTTATGTCATAGGTGGTGATCTATTCAAAGTCCGAAATCGCGCTTTAAAACACCGTCCATCCAATTTTCGGCTACCACGTTTTGATCGTTCCGAAGTCTCTTCATGTCCCTGATTCCGAATATGAAGTCGAGAATCCGTGGAAACCCTGACAACCCCGTTCGGGAGAACCCGTAGGCCGACTTCCTGCAACGGTGATTAGACTGGCGCGCACGAATGAGCGGGCATTACTGGAGGGGGCGGTGCCCTTGGAGCCTTCATGCATCTTCGCTATTTGGAAGTGATTTTTGATTTTCTCGCTTCCGAAGGCGTAGCGCTGGCATAACTTCGGCACTCTGGCGGGAGCCGAAGCAACATTTTGGGCCGCGGCTTGGGCATTGGGTTTGAAGGGATTTCTACCATAAGCTGTCAAAAGCTCAAGACCCCTAACTTAGGGTGGACGGGGCCTTTAAATGCTGCGGCGTTAGGGAATAAGGTCCTTCCAGGTGAAGGGAGTCTCAGCGATTTCCGACTTCGACTAGAAAAAGGTAATGAGCCTTCACGGACTAGTGACAAGTGACATTAGCTCACATGTCGACTGTTTACTTGATTTTGGGTTGTGTATTCTGGAACGGCGCCGATTTCCGTAAAGATTGAAAACTGCCAAACATAGATATGCTCAATGAAAGATGCGTTCTTTCCCAGGAGATGCGCTTTGTGGGCGTATAGTGTACCTGCGGTTCACAACAACGGCGGCAATAGCTAAGTTCCTCTTGAGCCACATCCCTCCTCCTCTATACGAGCCTGGGAGCCGATCATTTACGACTGCTTCGAGCACAATATTTCTCCAATTTTTTAATTTTGAGCGCTAAACTGAGTGTGCAGTACGTGTTTTGCGGTCGGAATGCACTTTCCATTTTTTCGACGTCTAGTACCTAAGTCAAATTTGATAGATACCTTGATTTCTATAATCCTGCCTCTTTGAGGTCAAAGCAGTTGTATAAAATCTTCGCATTTTTCTTTTCTTTCCTTTTGATTGCTTTTGAAAAACGAACGAATTTTAGCTTTGAGATGAACGGATGGATCAAAATGGGATGAGAATCTCATCAATATGTTGTGTCGGTATGGTTCACAGGTTTCCCTTCTAATTTCCATCTCTCCATTATGATTTGCAGGAGTGTATTATTGCATATATGGAAGTAAGCTTGCATGAGGTTTAAATAGAAGCGACTGGTTCCATGTCCGGCACTTGTCGGCTATGTGAAGGTAAGATTGTGAGCATTTTGACTCCAAAGTTTTGGCAAGTGTCGAGATGCCTTCAGCGCGCAAATACAAGTCTGACTTTACGCTTTTGAGCGAAGTCTGGCCGACGAATATCGCATCAATTCGCATGGTCTTCATCTTGTACGAGTTCTGTAGGTCGCGGTAGTCAGAGTATGAAATCTAATATATAAAGAATCTAGGTATAATAATATATAGTAATATAATATAATATATAAAGAATCTTAAGCCCAGTTCAAAAATGTGCAAATAGCGGGAAACCGCGTGGCCGTCCCGAAGCGAATGCTCTTGCAAATAGCACCTTTACATTACTGGTTCACTAGTTTGGTTGAAATATTGTTTAGGAAATTATTCCATGAGCTGATCACAAAGGTGATATACTACACATTCGCTGTGATATACTCTCTAGGGTTTACGTCTGATACACAGTTTGTGATCCCCCAAAGGCAATGTGGCAGATGATGTAATTTATATCTTTCACTTTCCTAGGCTTACCCGTTACGCTGAAGCAAAAATCTTTGTGGAGTTAGAAATGAAACAGTTATCGCCAAGGCTAGAACATATCGCTGGAATACGATCTGGTAGTGGTGGCGTGCGCAGTCTACCGCTGAAGAGCAGTGGCCTGCCGAGAGACAGCGAGGGGGGGGGGGGGGTCCTCCCTCACTCCGAGAATGGGTCGCGAAATTTTTAGTTACTTACCAGAATCATGAAAATGTGCAAATGACTTGTTTACACTTGTTAAAAAATTGAGTAATTTTCAAAATTCTTCCAAATAGCTTTGTAAAAAGACTTCATTGCGGGCACGCCCCGTTTTCCAAAGTCTTGGATCACGAGTCCACAAAAGTTTTGGGATCACCTCAAGAAACTATTCGGAGTGCATGACTTTCAGGCTAAGGAATCGCAAGCAGATTCAGGGAGCGACAAAGCGAGAAGTGCAGAAGCACGAAAACGTCGTCGATTTGAGATGTGAAGTCTCGTTGCCAATAAATCATGATATGATGTGAAATGAGGACTACTCAGCCAGTATTAATTGAACGAATGGGGTTCAAGCCTTTATGCCTATGTGAATTCTCAATCACAGTCTATGTATACATCTAGTTTGTTTGTGCCACAGGTGGTGTGTGATGAAAATCCGTCCTAGTACGTTGTACCGGAATCTTTTCTACGCACTCGGAGGTTTCCTAGTCTTCTACACGGCATACCAAGTATTCTCCTACAGTGATAGTTCTCATGTTGATGTTCATCGCCGCCAGAAGCATCTGTACCTGACTGTATCGAAGGACAGGTGAGAATATATCTTAATTATTCTTCTTTGTCATTCGAGTATTTGATTCCAGTTTTTCTCCATCTTAGCTTTTCTACTTGAGCTTTTTTGCTGTCATAACAATTATAATAGTGTTTTTTGCAAACCTCAGCTTTTATGTTTCCCAGGATTGAACACCGCTTTGGGAAATTAGCTCCCAAGCGAATACTCCTCTGGACGACGGTTTTCGGCAAGAAAAGACCTGTGGACTTCGGCGATTGCAAAGGTTTCTCGGTAGGTGATCACTTCATATCAAATTGACAACATAGAAATTTATAAATCTGCCAAGTAGTTGAACCGTTTTCCGTTTAGGATCGCTGTATAGTTACTTCAAACAAGTCCCTGATCACCGCGGCAGATGCAGTAGTGTTCCATGCAGCCGATATCCCATCTGCTCCACTTCCAGAAGCGCATTTGCGACGACCGCACCAGCGTTATGTATTTCTTAGCATGGAAACACCAGCTAACAGCGGGAGACATGCAGTGCCTTGTAAGAGCCTTTTAGATAGTATACTCCATAAGTGGATTTTTGTCGAATAAGTTCAGGCGTACCTTCTATCTCAAAACCCATCATTTCAGTAAATTTTTTTAATTGGACGGCCACACATTTATTCTCCTCCGATGTAATATTCAAGTATGGCGTGTTCTACCTTTCGGCAAAGGAAGCTGAGCTCAAAGGTTTCAAATTCGTTGTGAGTTTCATTTTTGATGGGATTTTCCAGAACAAAACATGTGGACGTGAATCTGGAACGTCAGCATCATTTGATCGTGCACATCGCTTCTTTGGAAAAGTCAAAGTTTCGAAAGATAGACTAGCAAACTCTTCTTCTTGCGTTATATTCCGATGATATTAGGTTTCGGTGGTATGGTCTTTTGCTGGAACCGAGCAAAGAATCAGTGTACCTATACAGTTTAGTAATGCGAGACCTCATTAAAAAAAGTTCAGTTCTCAGCTATACAAGGAATTGATGGATTTTTTAGGACTATCATATCGACGAATCTAAGCTGTTCAGGAAGAGGAAGTCTGGCATTTTTGGTTTGATATCCAACTGCCAAACATCTTCTAAGCGTGAACTAGCAATCAAGGAATTGTCCAAGTAAGATTTTCAGCACCACTTTCAATCCATGTTTTTTTAATTATTTTAGATACATAAATATCACCATTGGTGGGAAATGCGCACTGGATCCGAAGGACTTGAATATGTGCCCATATGGGGAACGTTGCGTTGAGCTTTTCGAACAGTATCCATTCTATTTTGCCATCGAGAACTCAGTAAGTTTCTTACGCCTGCATTTCTTTTCCTCAGGTACAATATAAAATTAGTTGAAGAAAAAAACCTCCGGAACATTTTGAGTTGCTTCTCTGTTCTTGCACTGTCTTACGAATTTGCTACCCCACTAAGCACTTGGTTTAGGTATGCAAAGACTACGTCACTGAGAAGTACTGGGATAGAACTATGATTCCTAGCATTCCTATCGTCTTGAAGCGAAAAATTTATGATTCGAGGTAAGCAGTGCGTTTACGTTTTATTTTGTAAAGTGATTATTCATCGCAGTAATATGCCACCACACTCATTCATTGCAATGGACGACTACGACTCTCCGAAAAAGATGGCTGCGCACTTGAAGCAACTGGAATCAGACAAGTAACTTTTTGTGGACTGTTAATATTATCAGCTAGATCGTGCCTTTTGATAGTTGAAGCATGACAAAATTGGCGGAAAAATTTACTAGGGCGAATTCGCTTTATTGAGTCCTTCTAGCGCAAAGATACCGAACTTCGCGTCTATAGTATGATGTAATCTTCACCATATAGCAAACAAACGATCTCATCATATATGTGGTCTTTTTCAGAGTTAAGTTGCCCTGTTTTTGGTTTAAGTTCTTGTTGCTTTATGCCCTGAATAACAGTGGTGGTGATATTTGACATATATACAATAAATTGCAGACGAAATGATTTGCATCAGCGAAAACTTTGCCTTCTGCGTTTGGAGTTTATTTGGCACGAATTCAGGAAAGCGTACGCAGAATATTTCGCCTGGAGGAAAGGTATGTGGACGGCAGCACCATGGAATGCTCCTGGATATAGAAATGGATTTTGTCGACTTTGTGAAAGACTGTGGGAAGAGGATCCACGAGAGAAAGTGGTGAGTACAGAAAGGAATAGACCGCTTCATCTCTCATCTGTATCCTGTTCCAGATTGAAGATGTTTGGGCATGGTTTGATAAAGAATCTCAGTGTGAACGAGATGAGTTTGTGCAGTCATGGATCAAAAGTTAATCATGACTCTACTCGAAACTCGTTTATCTAACAGTGAGAGTATGAAGGAATTTACTTTTAGTCAAAGTGGCCATTTGAATTTCGCAATTTGGCTATTTTAATGCCGCATCTATAGATGCGGGATAATGCGTTACAAAGCTGTCATCCGCTCGTCCTGGTAGGGTCGCTGCACACACTGGAACCCTTGCTGGCCCGCGCTAGCCTGATAGGGGCAGCCCCGGCATGCGTTTTCGCCCGGCCGGGTATGGGAACGCAATCGCCGCACAAGATGTCTGAGTTCTGATAAGCAGCACATTTGAACTGGGCACTTTGATAGAAGTACATTCTCGGTCAGTTATCTAGTTGGATGTTTTATGGCACGGATATTGTTATGACTTTATATTATTCTATGCACTCAAGCGCATTGGCAATAGTTTTACTACTATCCATGCTTTCCATCAAAATGACTCTTCAATCTGCTATACTGTTGCTCATTGTTAGGCTTTTCGAGAATTGTTTCATATTTTTCTCCTGATTCTCATGGTTGCTACTTAAGGCCATTTTACAGATTCTCAGATGAGATTTAGTGTCACAGGTTTCATACATTTCTTGTCATGTTGTTACTTTGCTTATTGAGTTTCCACTCATGTTCGGGTCTTCACGTGTTTAGTCGTGTAGTAAATATTAAGGATTGGCTCGTAAAAAATTTGATCTGGATCATGTGTAACGATAATGTGCATATAATTGCATTCTATCGGTGATTGTAATGAGAGGTAAAAGTGAATTCAAAGGAGAAGTAATTAAAGGCACCGTCTACTCAAATTGGGGTTGGTGAGATTATAATACCTAGCAGCTGCGGGGCCCCCGACTGTATGATTGCCCAACTTGGGCTGCCTAAAGTTGCTTCCGGAGGGAACGGCCATAGGTTGTCGGTGTTGTCGGGGTTGCCGAGATTGCCGGTCGTTGTAGGACCTCATGATAGCCTCCACGTTTCGCGCGCTCTCTAAACTGTCTCTCACCCCGACAACCCCGACAACACCGACAACATCGACAAACCCGACAACACCGACAACACCGACAACCTATGGCCGTTCCCGAAGCGAGAAAATTGCTTCGGAAATCGCATCAGGTGACGGTTCGACACGTTGGCTCCTCCCCTTTCGGGTGGGCGTGACGTTCGTCCCGCCCATCCGTGCGCGCCCCAATCACCGTTCCGAAGAAATCGCTCTACCGTTCTGAAAACGGGGGTTTTTCGTGGTTTCCACGGATTTCCGCTTTGATATTCGGAATCAGGAGTATGAGAAGGTCATGGACAGAGGTGCGATAGGTGGAGCCGGGCCCCCCAAAAGTGAAGGTGGTTCCAGCTACCACTGACCGGCCAAAAGTGAAGGTGGTAGTGCCGGACACTCACCTCCCAAAAACGTCGACGGGGGGGGGGGGGGGGTAACGTCGACTGAGCCTATCCTTCCAGGTCGTTGCCGCCAGTGCGCGTAATATAAGCAAAACAAACGCAAAAAAGATCATTGAAGGCATATTTTTAGGTACACGGCGGCATATTTATTTAAAATAAACGTGTTTAGTAAATGGTGTATTTGGAAGTAAAAGATAGCGGGACTGTACGGATTTTATTAAGTAAATTTTGTCATAACGTAGTACAAACAAAGTAGGTCGATCCAGGGAATAACCGCCGAGAATCAGAATTTTGAATAATAAAATAACGATAAATTATGCGAAATTTCCATTTTCATAAATCTTGCGGTTGAAGATGTCAGCAATTGCGACTTCATAAGTTTTGAAGGGCAAATGTTGTTCTATCAGACAGTGAAAGAATTAGGTCGATCTGAGCAGTGGCCGCCGAGAACGAGAATTTTGAAAAATTAAGCGATTTTAAGTTACTTAGTGACAGCTGACGTTTAGACTCCTATAAATCTGGAATGTGAAGGAGTGCAATGTTGCGACTTCATAGGTTTTGTAGAGTAAGGATTGCTGTATCGGACATGTCTTAGCCGTAACGATCCAATAAGATACCGCCGAGATTCAGGCTCTTGAAAAAACAAGTGAAAAACCGCTTTTTGAAATTCAACAGCGCATAACTTCTCCAGAATTGCATGAATCATGTTGCGACTTCATAGGTTGGATTCTCCTCATCAAGAGCTTTCAGATGATATATAATATGTGGGGGTTTTGCGCCTCTCACAGCATATGCCCGGGGGTGGAGATTCACCCCAAAGTCTCCCCTGGCGGTCACCGGCCAGTACATTAAATGGGCGAGGTGGAGACTTTGGGGTGAAAAGTCTCCACCCTGGGTTAAAGCCGCAAAAATCTTTGAACCCCCACATATTATATACCATCTGAAAGCTCTTGATGAGAAGAATCTAACCTATGAAGTCGCAACATGATTCGTGCAATTCTGAAGAAGTTATGAGCTGTTGAAGTTCAAAAAGCGGATTTTTACCTGCTTTTTCAAGACCCTGGATCTCGGCGGTATCTCAATGGATCGGTACGGCTAAGATATACTCCGATAGAGAAATTCTTGCTCTACAAAACCTATGAAGTCGCAACATTGCAAACCTTCACATTCCAGGTTTGTAGGAGTTTAAACGTCAGCTGTCACTAAGCAACCTAAAATCGCTTAATTTTTCGAAATTCTCGTTCTCGGCGGCCACTGCTCAAATCGACTCGATTCTTTCACTATCTGGTAGAACAACACTTGGTCTTCAAAACCTATGAAGTCGCAATTGCTGACATCTTCAACTACCAGATATATGACAGTGGAAATTTCGCATGATTTTTCGCTACTTTGTCATTCGAAATACTGGTTCTCTGCGGTTACTGCCTAGATTGACCTACTACATGGGAATATGCTCTCAATACTTTCTTTTACTTTCCTTTTGCTTATTTTCCTTCTTTTAAGCTTCAGCAAAAAATTTTTTTCAGACCCAAAAGTGAAGGTGGTATCAGCTCAAAAGTGAAGGTAGGCGGAGACTCGGCTCCGACTATCGCACCTCTGGTCATGGAGCGGCAAAAACATGGAGGTCGAAATTCTGAATTTCGTCATGTCCACTATATTCTGCCTTATATTCTCGACAACCCAAAGCGGGGTTGTCGAGAATATAAGGCATACAGTGGCGTACCGAGGGGGGAGGGGTTGGTGGGAGCGCCCCCCCCCCCCCCCGAGAACGGGTCGCGAAATTTTTGAAAGTTACTTCTTGTTTTTACTTGTAAATTATTAAAATAATTTTTAAAAATTCAAATTAGCCTTATAAAATTTTTTTCGGGGGCGTGGCTGCCGCCACGCCCCCTTTTTCTGAAACTTTGAGGTCAGGGGCGCGGAAAAATTTTGGGAAGCATTCCAAAAATTTTTCGGAGGGCGTGGCTAACGCCACGCTCCTTTATCCGAAAAATATTTTTGTCGCGCCCCCCACCCCCGAGCCGAAATCCTGGGTACGCCGGTAAAGGCATACTAGTGTTTGCCCCCACACTAGGCCCCCAAAATGCGCCGCGAAAGACTGCTTTCAGAACGAAATCCGCTCCGGAAGGAGCAAATCTGAAGGTGGTCACTCCACCCAGGGTCGCGCCGCCCACTTTGCAGGCTTTCCTTCGCTGGTTAGTTGCAGCGGGTTCTCCAAAACGAGGGTTTTTGGGAGTTTCACGGATTCTCCACTCCAAATTTTAAATCGGGGCGGCCTTCGGAAGGCCTGCAGGCGACAGAAACATGGAAGTCCAGAATTTGGGTAGGTGGTTCCTTTAACCGAGATTGATAGATGAAGTGACTGGCATCGACTTTAGTTCTCAGCAATGCAGGTTAGCCTTGCAAAAAAAATTTTTCTAAAGATATTTCATCAGGCTTCTTTTTATAAAATTTTGGTTATGACCCTGTAATTTGTAGAGAGGATCGCAAAAAAATTTGGCGCTCGTGGCTAATGCGACCTCTACATGAAAAAGGAATTCTGTCTCCGTTCCCTGGATTTCTCGAGTACACTTCTCGCAACCCTCTTGTATGGCTTTCATCTCTGCACGAATAGTTTTTTTTTTTGTTCCAAATCTGGATTTTAGGATGCCAGGTTACGCTGAGAACTGGAGTTATGTCGTTTGTTTTAGCGGCTTGGAGTTTTGCACCTTGGCTTGAAACGATTTATTGAGTACACGTATACCGTTACAAATGACGGTAGTCTGCACGAATGCGGCGTAGAGCATACAGTCCGTGTCATTCACGTGCTCCCTCTTCCTCGAACGCAGTAAGCTTCGCGTCACGTTCGCGCGGTATGACTCGCACACCTAAATGGACCTCATCAATTGGAGGCCCGCACGCAAAGCCGTTGTGCTGCTCATGCGCGTAGTTCCCATGCGAAAGGGAGTACGTAACTGACATTGACTGTGGGCGATTCATCGCACGCACAGACTGAACACTATCGCATCCGAATCAGGCAGTTCGTAAATGGAAGAGACAGCAGGCGACAAGAGGAATGGAAGAGCGCTTGATCAGCAGGACGCAGACACTTCCGTAATGACGCGCTGTCTTTGCGTGCGAGAATCGCCTATATACAGTCCGTGTTGATCACGTGCTCCCTTCTCCGTAAGCGCAGTGAGCTTTGCGCCACGTCCGCTCGCGTATGGCTCGCACGTCCAAACTGGCCTCATCGATCAGAGGTCCGCGCGCAGGGTCTTTGCGTTGCTGATGCGTAGTTTCCATGCGAAAGGGAGTACGTAACTGACATTGACTGTAATTCCTTTCTACGAAATAAACGCAAGAGGATCATAATATTGTCACTAACATTCGTTGTTGTTCTACCGCCAAATATGAAGCCGTAATGTTATCGTAAGTCTCAAAATGAGGACAGATATCCTAGACTCTCGGCAACGCTCCGGGCGCATTGTGAGCTGTGCATGGTCGCATCCAGACTTCTCCGTCTTTTCGTTCTCTCACGATTGTCTCTGTCGCGTGCAATTGTCCAAGGCGATTCAGAAGTGATCCAGGCGTGTTGCTAGTGTTTGGAAGAGCATGGGTACCTAAAAAACCAATCATCTATCATTTTCATGCTTGAGCTGTAAATGGATTCGCACTCGAAAGTAAGGGTTTGCAGGTCTTTTAATGCGATCATCCACCCGAGATGATGGTATCTTATATATAAAGCTGAATGTCTGTTTGTCTGTCTGTCTGTCTGTCTGTCTGTCTGTCTGTATGTCTGTCTGTCTGTGTGTACGTATGTTCCGAATAGAAAATTCCATTTCTGAACCGATCCGGACCAAACTTGGCACACATACACTACGGGCCCCGGCGGGTGTCATAGGCTACTTTTCGTCATCGATCGATATCGATTTTATCGATTTTTATCGATTTTTTTGCTGAGTTCACCTACGGGGCTGGGAGTTGGCACAGGGGGGTAATCGAGCATGGGGATTCCGAATACAATATTGGTTTTCAGGATTATCGATTACTTTTATCGATTTTATCGATTTTTTTGCAAAGTTTGAGCTACGGGGCTGGGAGTTGGCACAGGGGGGTAATCGAGCATGGGGATTCCGAATACAATATTGGTTTTCAGGATTATCGATTACTTTTATCGATTTTATCGATTTTTTGCAAAGTTTGAGCTACGGGGCTGGGAGTTCGCACAGGGGGGGTAATCGAGCATGGGGATTCCGAATACAATATTGGTTTTCGGGATTATCGATTACTTTTATCGATTTTATCGATTTTTTTGCAAAGTTTGAGCTAGGGGGCTGGGAGTTGGCACAGGGGGGTAATCGAGCATGCTGATCATCCCCAAGGGGGGTGATCAGCATGCTCGATTACACCCCTGTGCCAAATTCCAGCCCCCTAGCTCAAATTTTCAAAAAATCGATAAAATCGATAAAAGTAATGGACGATCTTGAAAACTAATATTGTATTCGTAATCTGCATGCTCGATTACCCCCTGTGCAAACTCCCAGCCCCGCAGGTCAAACTTTACAAAAAAATCGATAAAATCGATAAAAGTAATGGACGATCCTGAAAACTAATATTGTGTTCGTAATCAGCATGCTCGATTACCCCCTGTGCAAAATCCCAGCCTCGCATGTCAAAATTTACAAAAAATCGATAAAATCAATAAAAGTAATCGATAATTCTGAAAACTAATATTGTATTCGGAATCCCCATGCTCACTTCCCCCCCTGTGCCAACTCCTAGCCCTGTAGGTGAACTCTGCAAAAAAAATCGATAAAAATCGGTAAAATCGACATCGATCGATAACGAAAAGTGGACTGTGACACCCGCCGGGGCCCGAAGTGTATGTGTGCCAAGTTTGGTCCGGATACGGCGGAGCCGGGTAAGCCAGCTAGTGTACTATAATACGATACAATGTGGGGCCTCGTACAGTTTGCCCCGATCGGGATCAGGCGCTATTCGCTAATTTAACGCACATGCAGCGCCAGTACTTTGCGCTGCATATACAGTCGAGTAGATTATCCGCTTAATATAGTGTGCTTACGCTGAAGGTGAAATGCAGTCGTAGAGCAATAGCTACGCTTGTGACGCCGGCCATTTGCGCGCGCAAAATGTTGGCATTGCTGGCGTGGCTACTTGTTCATGCGCGTTTTACCGCATTTCACCTTCAGTGCAAGCACACTACTTATACTGAGCGGAAAATCTATTCGACTGTACGCACTGTCGGAGAGATCACATCGAAGAGAGATGAGGCAAGCAGGCCGTCATGATGCAAAACCCTAGCGACACGGACTCCCCCCATACCAATTTTGGCCTGATTGAGATTGGGGCAGACTGTAGCTAAGTAAAACCGGGTCGCTCTACAAAATCTGAACTCCAAAGCAGAAATCACTCCAGAAATCACCTGGCAACCTGTCCGTTCCGTCAATGTGGGGGGTCTACATGTCATAAGCTTCTACCAAGCTTCAGAGTAAGCGGAAATCACCTCCCATGGTGACGAAATACGAGTTTTGACATCCCCAGATACTTGGAAAAATTTTAGGACTCATTGTCTCCACCCGCCCATATCGGCGGGCGCGACAGATAGGTCGGTAACTGAAGCGGCTTCCTCAATTCGGAATCCACTTTCTGTGGCTACTTTTTGCCGTGAATTTGGGCAAGGATTAGATAAAGGGCCGCTATTGTACCACTTCTCTCCTCATCCTTTCCGCAAACGGTCGGCTAATTTTAGCTCTGACCTATACCGTCCACCAAGGAGGATCAAAGACAAGGTGCAAGAAACTGTGGCTGTCCACTGCATCTATTTGGTTGAGAAGTCATGGACCAAGATCGCAATGTCACGAGAATGCGCTGGTTGGCACGAACAAATGAATTCTTGTCATCGAAGACGATCGAAGTCGAAGTCACCCAACTCAAGCCATAAACGGAATCATCGCGGTATTAAATTGTATATAACCGCTGAGGATGAATAAATGTAAGTATAAGTATGTAAGTATTGTACCGCGTCCAAATCACCCTTCCCTAGGACGGTGTCTTTGAGTTGCGGTCATCGCAGCATCTAGCTGTCTGATACACTTTGCTCACATTTCCATGAGCTCTACGAAGCCTTGCGGGAACTATCATTGAAAAAATAAAAACGTCGGAAGGTACCTCTGTCTCGAAGTGAGAATGGGAGCGGCAGTGTTTTCGCAAAAGTAGCTTTTTTCTTCCGCCCGCGGACGCACATTATGAGCATCATCGAGATGAGGACCATGAATAAAGCGGAAAAGATCGTAGCGAGTAGCATTTGCCATAGAGGTAGTCGATATAGAAGCGAGGATGCCTAAATTGTAATTTGAAAGGACTATGTGGAAAGAAACATATCTAAAGAGATGGTGGTCGTACATGACTCTCACTCGCAGACGCCGGTGAGTCCATCATCCTCAGATCGTCTGCAGTCACCAACTTTCTATGATGTGCAACAAGGGGCTCATTTGTAAAAGTTTCCAACGTAATCTTCATCTTGTGAGACTCCTGCCCATCGTCAGAGTATGGTAGTAATAAGCTCGATATTGGGCCCTCTTGCGGCTTCACTGAGACATCAGCAACACTTTCGGAACGAGCAGGATTAGTCACTTTTGAGCCTGAAAAGTCAAAAGTAGCAAAAAACATCGAATTAATATATAATTTGATATTATTTCGGGATGATTACGATTAGGACCTCACCTACATACTAGAGGGCTGGGAAATTTGACTATTTTTTTCTTCCTCAGCAAACAACTCTTGGCGCGAATCAAACTTGAACCAATTTTTGGTTAACAAAAAGTGTATCAGACAGCCCACATTGCCTGTGTGCCGGCGCTGATCCAGCGCCGTTTCAATGCAGTGTCGGAAACCATGTGGGGCGCAGCAGCGTAATCATCGATCGTCGTTCAGGGGCATGGCGCCACCTCTGGAACGGCTCTGGCGCGAGGCTGCCAGGGCAACTCGCGCAACTTGAAGATCGGAAAAGCACACTACTTGAGGAAAGGGTAATCATATATGAAATGATATGCACGTTTTAGCTATGCCAGAAGGTCCCAAAAATTTATTTACTAGGCTATAACCCTTTACTCCCCCCCTTTCAACATCTCTCACACTTCCAAAGTAAGTCTTCGAAATGCTTGCTACAACTTAATTAGGCTTTCACACAAAATGAGCTCACAATAAAGAGGAAATTCTGGTATGCAGTGCATGATTACGGAATGGTGGACTGCACCATGAAATTTCACCCAAACCAAGAACGCTGGCAACCGAGATTTTCGAAGATTTTCGTTTGCTCTTATTCTCCCACCAATACCTAATAACGTATTCTCAAAGGAACATTTTTGATATCCTTGAATAGACTTATTTATCGCTTCAATCTTCAAATGACTTCCGTCTATGACCCGAGGACTCACCGTTTATAGAAAGTCTTGCAAGCTGGGTGATAAATCGTTCCAATAACCATTCTTCGTAATCGCTGATTCCTCCAGTCTCCGCCAGTAAGGTGCGCGAGTACTGAAATTTTTTCTGAGTCAAGGTATTGAGTATGATATTAGAATGTGAACATCATTGGATGCACACAGGCTAGCATAATTGGTAAACATAGTGTTCTTGCAATATCGACGTTTGCCGACAAAATTTGCGCGTGAGGATTCAGCTAGGGTTGCACTGCCGGCAATTTGCGTGTGCAAGATGGCCGAGGAACGCACATTTTCAAGTTTTGCAACCTCTAAAAATCCGTTTACGCGCAAATGTTGTCGGCAATGTTGGCACCTGCAGAGGCACCACACTTAACCATATTTATTCATTTTATAACATCAGATCTACTAGCTTATACTTCAACAAAATAATTTGAATCAATATCAGTATCAATTTTTGACGCAAGAGTCAAATGGTATTTTATGACTCCAAGCTTACAGAAAATTGAAATACCAACTTTTTCCAAAGCAATGCTATAGAATGCTTGTCGTAATCGAAATGTCATTTCATCCATGGAGCTTTCAGCTATTCGAGATAGTAAGCCATCTACTGCCAGAGGATCGACCTGAAGCAGAAAAATTGCATAAAAATTTCAGTTTGTTCACTGGTTGCGTGCTCACCTTTGAATTACGTTCGATTACCTTGGAAAGGCTGCAGCTAAAGGCAGAGAAGAACATAATCCACATGTAGGTGTACATCGGTTCTTCTATATAGCAAACTGCTCAAGAGGGGCGTAGAAGTATGGGATGACATCAGCTACCGAGCTCATGCTCAACATCTGCTCCCATGTTATCACTTCGTCGAATCCACTTGTGTACACAGAACGCAGGTGAGGTCATGAGCTCTTCTTTGAGTTCGGACCATCTTGTTTGACCACATGGTTGTGCTTCCACCCAGGTCATTAATTAGCCAGCAACATCAATCATTTGCACCAGTGATGAGTATACGGTATGTTGGATAAGTCGTATACAGGAGGCTATAAATTCAACAAAATGGAATGACTCCAGGGAAACAATTCGTTGTCGCTTCCCCCCCCCCCCCCTCCTAGAGCCGAAATCCTTGGTACGCCACTGGTAAACATGGGTCATATACGTGATTGACTTTCGTGAACGAGTGAAGATGAAAAAACCCTTCGAAAAATAGTTCAGCGTTACAACACAATTCAATACTTTTTGTCAGTTTTCATTGAAAAATACTCAACCTCAACATTGTTTGTAAGCAATCGTGCCCCGTTTTTCGTGCCCAGACTACTTAAATTTAATGTACTGCTGCGTTTCCACACACAAAGATCTGTTTGACTTTTCGAAGCTTAGGTTCACTTTTCGGAATCTACTAATACTCGGAAAACTACCAGCAAATAATTGGGCCCTGTGATCAAGACTGGCTATTCTGTGCCACTCTTGGGCTCGTAATTCTATGGTGTACTTCAAGAAGCGCGGTTGCTGCCGGATGGACATAAAATGTAATGTTGTATACACATATCTGGTGTTTTGTAATGTTTTGAAAATTCTGGATTTCTAAAGAAATGTGACATGTGACTGCACGGGTTCTTTCATCTCGAAGAACATTCAGAAGTCAAATTTTGAAGGCTCAGAAACGTTTGAAAATGCAAAGCGACAAACTCGTGGATATTTTGGTCGTTTTTTGAAGCAGAAGCCGTGGAACTCCGTGGTAACTTCGGACACCTATAAAGCCCAAGCAGTTTGTCTGGAATTCTTTCTCAGCGCAGAGCAGAACTTTCAAAGGTGACTGCCGGAAAAATCGCGCCTCTTGAAAGAGAAATCTCCAATTTTGTCCTACTGATTGATGTTACCACACACCGCATTAGTTGGCGCAGTATATCTAAAAGGGAAGAAGTTCTCTTTTTCCTTTAGCCATATAACATCAATTTCAGCGTCATTTCATTGTGTTTGCTGTAAGTGAAACATTTGCTTTTTAGGAACACATTTGAATTAAGCGATGAAGAATTTGCTGGAGATGGCGGATCATGCCTGTTTTAATCTTCTAACCTTCGCATTTGCTCATGAAAGCGATATCTGGCTTACTATTAGCCATGTGCAACCCGTGCCGAGTCCTAACTAGAGGGATCCAGAAAATGTAACGAATGTTTGACCATCGAGAATTCTCCAGAACTCTGATTTATCAGCAATTTCGCGCAAATTAGAAAGCACATTGCCTAAGTGGCTTTATTTTATATTTAAAAACAAATCACCCATCGCTCTTCACTACCGTTGTAGTACGAAAGGAATTATTATCATAATGTCATCATGGCAAACCAGCTGCCATCTCATCCTCACTGTCGTGAGGGTCTCCGAAATAAAAAAAAAACTCAAAAATGGTGTGATGGGACTTTTAGACCAGCTGATCTAGTAAAAAACACATATATACATGTTTGCAGAAAGTTTAGATAGTACAACTAGACCCTGAATTATTGGGAGAGACCCCGTGAAGGGGGGGAACTTACCTACCCGAAAGACTTGCCGCAAAATAACCAGAAGGGTCGTGAGGTGTAGGCAACGCTACCACCGTATGCAGAATTGATCTCTACAGACAATAAGCCCCGTTCCCACCCAACAACGCATGAACCCGGAATTAAGCTGTAATTTTGAACTAAAACTTCGGGTGAGTGACTTTTCATACGATGAGCAATTCCGAGGTGCGAGGTGTGAACACCTACGGCTAAGTGTCAAGTCTCACACCTCCGCGTCTAATATACTGTAGAGAGGGGGGGGGGGGGGGAGGAGGGGGACTTTTCATACGAATGCCTCCACATCATCTTTTGGTAAAGATCCAGTAAAAACTGGCACCATGCCAGGTTTGGGCCTGCTGGCTCCACTCCAATCATCTAGATTAGCTTGTGCAATACCGCGAATTTGGATAAATTTGGAAAACTTGAATACTGTATGGATTCAAAAAGTGTTTTGCTGTGAAAAATAACACTATGATCGTTCCACTTACGAATTTTTTAGTATTCAAGTCGACATAATTCGGTCTCTTTTGCAAACGTTTTGAACTGGTTTGAGTATTGTCACATGCCTCTTCAAGCCTTCAGCATGACCTGCAAGTGTTACACTTCCCATAGGGGATATTGGAGGGGAAGACGGTCAAGAGGCGCGATTTTTCTGGGTGTCATCAACTTAAAACAGCAGTTTCATGCTATGGGAAAATTCAAAAAGTGCCGGACAAAGTTCATTGGCTTACTAGCTGTTTGAAGTAACCACTTGATAAGTTTGACGACTTTTGATAGAAAACTGACAGAAATTACAAAATTAGTGTTAACTGCATTATGTGTTTTTGACCTTTAACAATTTTGTTTGAAATCGATTTCAAGATGATGAAATTGAACAACCCCTAATTTCCCTAATATATTTCTTTCGAAATTTTAAGTAATTCTAGAACTTCATAAAACACTGAATATGTGCTATATGCTGCCCATCTGGCATTAGGAATCGCGCCTCTTGACATAGCTACACCCATTGGAGGGCATGGGACTTGATAGAGCGAACCATTCATTACCACAATTGTGCCAGTTGTTTGCGAAAATGGAATCGCTGTGGCCTGACGATCTTACTATGATACGCTATTTCAACCCGATAAGCTTACAACAGATAAAATCATATTCTTTAGTTTATGCATTTTTGATAATAAACGTTTCATTTTAATCCATTGGAATCGATAACTGGACGTATTACCAGCACCCTAGCATACGCTAGAAGGTCAAAGTGATCGGGGAGCGTTCGTATGAAAAGTCCCCCTCCCCCCCTCCTCACCTAGGCGTAGTGGAGAATCTTACTCATTACGTGGATGGAGAGGTGCGATGTAGGTGTGAGGTAGGTGCGAAGGTTAGGTACGAAGTCCCCGATCGTATGAAAAGTCCCCCCCCCCCTAAAACTTCAGTATCCATGTATGCCCGATCAAAGTGAAAGGTGGTAACTTATGGCTTTATAGATGTTCGCGAGGATAGCAGCCCTGTTTTTGATGTATTTCTTACAATAAGCTTTATTGTGAATTTGGGAAGAGAAAAAAAAACGAAAAAATCTGTTTCGATGGAGAAAATTGGCTGGATGCGAATCCTATCAAAGCCAAATAAACTATTACAAACTATTACAAACTATTACATTCCAACATTTTCAATCCAACAAACAAGAATAAAACCAATACTCTAAAACTGAAAATGACTCCGAACAGATCAACTCTGCACACGGTGCTAATTAGTGTTGCTGACAACTCATGATACCGAAGGTACGTTGCGGCAAGTCTTTTGGGTAGGTAAGTTCCCTTATCCCCCCCCCCCGTGAAGGCACAAACCCCGCACTTATGAGAGGTAAAGCGAGAACCATAGGTTAAACTAGCACTGTTTTTTCAGTCTTTTTTTAGGGCAAATTTGGCTCTCATTGGCAAAACCATCTGGAGTGTGCTTACCGTACCCCCAAGGTAATGCATAGCTCTGAATGCTTCATTTTGTGCTTTGAATCTCACTTGAAGCCAGCCCTAAGATAAGCCACTAAAAATCCGTGAAACCTGGATGATAAAGGAAAGCTACAGCGAATACTTTCGTTACATTTTCTGATTCTGTATAATACACACCCTTCATTTTTCTTTGAGAAAAAGCGGAATGAGTTTATTCCTGTAATGACACAATTATCATGCACTGAATTGTCATAGACATCTTCGACCTAGCCATGCTTGCAAAAAGAAAAAACAAAATTTTTGATTTAAGATGTGAGCCAAGAGAGCGACATAGCTTTGAATAGCTGACATCTTAACAACAATTCCCAATATCAACAATTCAACAAAACACATGCGTAAAAGCGAAGAGAAAAATCATATGGAATTTGAAAGGCATGAAAATAAGTGGAGAAAAAGAAAATAAATAATCTCATATCATATATGCTTCACAGTTTGTACAAAGGCGCAATTTTGGTGCTGTACAAGTAGAACAAAAAATCGATCCTGGATAAAATGTATAAGAAAAGCTTCGATACACCGGCTTCAATGCCACTAGAAGAAATTTACTTTTATCAAGATGGCATGGATTTTTGGAATGGAGCATCATTGTAGATCAGGTGGGTGATGACATCTGATTGAGAGACGCATGCGACGGGCTTTTTATGCTCATCCAGAATGAATATACATCGCATATGGTTCGCTTGTAACAATGCATCCAATACTTTTCCCACAGAATCTTGAGGGGTGATGAATTCTGGTGGCGGACGTCGACCAAGTAGTTCGCTTACGGTTGTGTCAGCGAGAAAACTCTGAAGATGTTGAGTGTAAGTGTTGACACGATATTACTTAGGAAGTTGAACAGCGGAGGCAAATTTCTAAACGCTACAGTAATCCTTTGTGGAACTGCCGAGGACAAAAAAGCCGACTCCCATATTAAACAGGGTACACACTTTTCAATACTTGTTAACTTTCTTCCTATGAAGTCTTTTCAACTTCAAGCATTAATAACAATGGCGTTGTATGCTAGAAGCTACCGTGATCCTAAGTGATGAAGAAGATGGGTGATTGACGTTATACAAAAGTAAAGAATCGTAACGCCAATTCAACATCAGATAGCGGGAACCGCAGTGTGATCCCGAAACGCGCGCATGCAAATCTAGCACCTTTAGGATTCTTGCTTCGCTAGTTGCAAATTTAAATTGAGACGTGTTCTATTGAATACAGCTTGAAACTAAGCAAAAGATTTTGTTGAAGAGAGTTATTACAGATTAAATGTATACAACCTTTTGGAACACCAACGTGCCGTGCATCATAGAGAGATTTGCCCTCCCTCCCCCTCCTCGGTTATGCAAAAGGGGCCGCTCATGATGAGTGCGATTACGATTTTGCGTGTGGTTTTGAAAGGATATGCGACAGTTACATATCGAAGGTCTCGATATGGAGTAGTTGATAGAGTTAACAAATACTATGTGCGGATAATCCTGTCACAGATTTGCATTCTGATGGCAGCACTTCAACCAGGCCTTCATTGAAAAAATTGCTATATTTCTTTTCTCATCAATTTTTTGATACGCGACACTTTGAAAAAGTGACCGAAAATGTTTAATCTTTTTTTTTTGATTTTTTTGACCTCTCGTATAAAACGCAAGAGAATTGCCGCAAATGCCGCAGTAGAAGAGCACAACCAAGTATTTGTATTTTGGAAAACTATAGAAAAAAAACTATGTGGATATGTTTGTCCAACTGTCTTAAACTTGCTATCTATGTGTGTATTTACGACATTTGCTTGAGTAAAAAACAAATCTGAGCTTTTCAGGAAGCTGAAATATTTTAGAATCGGACAGGAAAAAGTCTAACAGAAAATATGCGCCAAACTTTTAAAAACGGGGTTTTTTTACCACCTCAATAAACGGTCAACTTTAATTTTCTAGGCTATCGGCACTAATTAATTTTCACCTGAGGATTAGGCGATTCCATGAGAGCAGTGGCGATGTCGGCTTTTGTGACAACATCACAAGTTTCTCCTTCAGCATTCACAACAGGAAGCGATGACAGCTTCTGTGCAAGCAGTTTTGACGCTACCTCATCCAGCGAATCGCTCACGGATGCCTACGGCAAAATCATATTGAGGACGAATATGTTAGGAATGAAAAGAAAACCTTACAGAATGTACGACGCTGTCCCAGGTTCCAACGCCAGAATCTTTGATCGGACAGCTTAGCCACTGAGCGAAATGTAATGACCGATTTTGTTTGTGTATCGCTTGGAGCACCCTCTTGATAGTGAGAAGATAGAGAATGTCACCAGTTTGTGGTTCGCGAACGATGATACGGTGAACACGATGGACGCAGAACTCTTGGCATGCTTCGATGATTCTGCAACAAATGACTTCCGATCTAGTACGAAAACATACAGATTGAAACAAAAGTCAGGAAGATGTGAAGTACAAAAAATTGAAATAACTGTTCAATCTTTTCTAAATCAGCTTCGAATTAACACAAATGCTTCGAAGTTTTTTCATCTAACAATAAATTCTGCACGACGCCAAATCTCGCAGATTAGCAACCGAAAGACATAGAATTTGAGCTTTTCTTCCTCTCTGAAGCACCAAAATGAAAACAAAAAACCGTTCCGAATCAGAAATTTTCAAAATTTGACATCAATGTCGTGGACTAGGAATATAGCTTACAAATTACTTGTTTTTCTTTTCTGAAACTACTCATCTTATGGCGCAATGACAGTAATCACAATGACTCCAAGACTGCTAGAATTACAGCCAGCAGTTTCTTTTGAAGGAATTCGTTTTGAAAACAATCAGAATCGGAAACTATTCGGAATATTTTCGAATGGTGCACAACTTCTCTTCCCACTAGAAACAGAAAAATTTCACCGATTTCTCCGTGCTAGCTAATGTTATAGAGTAGATAGTCATGAACAAGAAACTTCAATGTTGTTGAGTACCACACTTGAAGTTCTAATTTCTTATCAACCTCTTTTGCGCGATAATTCAGATGACCAAAGGCTTTGTAAACGAGTTGACATTGGTTGCAGGAAAAAAAAGCACACATTTCTTTGATCAAGGCATGACTAGTCAAAAATTCAGGAGATGTCTGATAGATTAGTATTTCGCAGTCTTAGAGTACTTCCACATTTTTTATGTCAGGATGTAAAAATTAGAAACCAGAAAAAACGAGGTATAAGTAAATGCAAAAACCTCATCAATCCTTTTCGGAATTAGTTCTTTGGATGTTATTCAAAGAGAGGAGAGGAAGTATAATTGACCTATGCACTCAACACATTGACTAATTTTTCAAAGAATGAAACCCAGGAGAAAATTTTTTGAATAAAACCACAAAATGTAATGTCATAATTTTTCTTACTTCGCATCAGCTGGAACGCTTATTAATGTATCGCCAGATATTAGTTCTCCAACTTCGCTAGCAGAACACCGAGATGCATCATCAAGCAGATACATAAGGAAGTCAGTCAACGTAACTAGTGACGTTATCTGTAAAAAAAACTTATTTTTTTCCCAAGCAAGAAAAGAAAATTTGGACTCACGCGTCCTACTGCAGCATCCCATACCAAACCAGAGTGGACACTTTGTTCACAAAGCGCGGAAAATGCCCTATCGACCTAGAAATGTTAACATTAGTATAGAAATTATGATCATAGTGGAGATTTGATTCTGGCAGCCTAATAAAACTGACTGTTGATATATTGCGCCTACGGTGCTTGCAACATTTGCGCGGGAGAAAATTGCCATGCTTATAACGGGTTATTCGCGCGTAAAAATGGCCATTTAATGCACTTCAAGCTTCATATCATGGCCATTGTCCACGCACAAATGTTGTTGTAATGCCGCAATGACACTATATTGACTGTAGAATTAGGAAACTATACCTTGATGGATTTGTCAATGGCGATAATGTTGCCGGCTGGAGGGGCTAGTTCATAACAATCTACTACCCGCATATATTGTCGATATGGATCGGATTGTGAATCTGAAAAGCGAAAAATTCTATTCTAGGTTTTAGATTTCACTGGAACTCATGAAAGAATTTGGAAAAAATCTCTTACCTACAAGCCCCACGACATCCACACTAAGTGGTCGAGATGTTTTTCGTAAAATCAAGAAATCCTGCAAAAGAACATTGAAAATCCTCCAAGAATATTCACTACACTCAATTCATGAACAAACCGAGCTGTTACTTCTAGGCCTTCGAAATGCCCAATCGTCGTCGTATAGATCGGCAGACCCCTCATCGCCCTCGCGCAAATCGTAAACCGATGACAACTGGCAGCCATTCACCTTCAAAAGTACAAAATCATAACGTATATTTTCTCGAATGAAATTACGGCCATGGCTGAGAAGAAAATTACGAGGTCATCGTTGGTATTGATTTCAAGGACGCGAAAACATTCTCTCGGTTATAGATAGTACAGAATTTCATCGCTATTTTACGATCTCTCTAGAAAGATAAAAGAAAATTTTTTTACAGCAAGGTGCGGAGTTTCTCTAAAATTTTATGGAGGCGCTTTACGTTATCAGCTAAGGTCGAAAGGAAAGGATATAAAAGAATTGGCAGTATCGTAATCTAATGAAGCGGAAAAAGCTTAGTACTCAACCATTCTCTTAGGTATAGTGAGTGGTAAAAATAGTTAAGTAGCAAAAAAATATTCTAAAAAATGTGGACAAATTTTTTATTCGGACTTTCATACTATATGTAAAAAAAGCGAGTGTTTACCTGCACTTTTTTGAGCTTCACAGGTTTTCTCAAAAGCTGACCGCCAAGACTTTCCGACCGTTGTCGGCCCCCAACGAGACCTCGAAGTCCTGGAAGCAAAACAAATGATTTGAAGATTTTCTGCCAAGCATGGACTTCTGCGAAACGAAGCCTCACGTATCCATTAAAGTGTACAAATGGCCGATGTGTGAGACGCACCACTGAGAATGCTGGGCGGCCTTTGCACGCTTCCTGAGTTGAAACGACGTCGGACATTGATGGTACGGCCAGTTTCTGAAAGTATACAGTTGAAAGCTTTGGAAGATTTACAGTGTTCCTTTATCCCACAATTTTTCCTCGAAAAGCAAAATCAGATTACTTGTCCAACCCGGAATATTTCAGACTCCACTTTTGGTCCAATGGACAAGAGTGAAAGATCTTAATTTCCCAAAGGTCAAGAAGGTGTAGTGAGGGGGAATGCTTGTCGATGACGAAATTGGGTGACGCGTAACCAATGATAACGATTCTTCGTGTTATGGTAGGGATACTGTAAGGGAGATAGAATCGGGGGTTTTCTATCGTCTCAGATTCAGGGGTTTTCTATAGTCTCACATCTCACATATTCTTCATATTGCGAGATTTTGCAAAATGAACGTTGCTGAAAGTGGTGAAAATTGGAGCAAAAGGACATTGTGTAGAAGTGCATTGCCAATTTCCATTCAGAAATTGTCTCTGCGGGATAGAAGCGAGTTTTTTTCAGAACACATGTCTGTACCGCAGATGTGTCATATCAATGTATTCCTTTACCTATGTGCAATTGTGGGCGAAGCTTCATAGATTACGACAATGTTGGGTCTAACATTCCCATCGAGCTGCTCAAGAAATTTCTCTGAAAACCGATAAGCCCAAAGGGCTTTATCCTGTCCTATTACAGCGTGAAGATCTTGTGGCCTGATAGACGAGACAAATCTTTCACATCCCGGATCATGATGTGCTTTTCTCTCCCACAGCAAAACCACTGCCCATCAACCAAAGACAGATTACCCAGAAATTGCCTTGTTCATCAATCAAATTTTTACTCCTCATCAGCTGTTATAACATAATGGCTCATTGGGATGGAAGAGGCGTTCTTCATCACAGCATATGCATTGTCGAGCCGCATAAAGAAAGCTGCTGCCGGCATCAAGAATGAACAATGCTTGCACTTTTCCGTAAATATTCAGAGGAACATTCGCTCTCGTTTGTTTCAACAACTTCTTGAAATGAACGACACTTTCTAGCTGTATAAGTAGAGGAGCAAATGGTTCAATTTTTCGCAGCTAACTTATCCGCGAGCAGTAAGGGTAGTCGCCCAATGAACATGCATAAGGCAGCGTCCAGAGATGTTCGCATGCCGACGCATGCGAGGGGTCCGGGTGCGTGCCAGCACCGTATTAGCATCGTGCCGGAACACGTGCAGACTGTGGGCGAGACCAAATTATACCGTAACCTAAGTATAACAAGTTCAGATTCTGATTATTTCCACTGCCGACTAAAGAACACGTATCATCGGCTCCACTCGTGTAGAGGCGGGGTTTTGCCAACTCAAAGCGTGGCGGTTTTTGATAGCGAGAGAGTACAAAAAACAATGTTATGACGTGGAGGTTTAACAAGTTTACCTGTGTTATCAGGCAAAGTCTGCAATACACCTGTACACGAATCGTGGAGACGATCATACTTTCTGGCTGGTAAGGTTTGATTTGAAAAAAAGGCAATTTGGGAAATTCAGAAAATGTGCAAACACCTACGAGGCAGTGGCGTACCGAGGGGGGGGGGCGGGGGGGGGGCGCGCCCCCCCCCCCCCCCCGAGAATGGGTCGCGAAATTTTTGAAAGTTACTTACAAGGGTTATAAAAATGTGCAAATGACTTGTTTATTTTTGTAAATAATTAAAATAATTTTTAAAAATTTTTGAAAATTCAAATTAGCCTTGTAAAAAAATTTTTTTCGGGGGCGTGGAAAAACTTTCTAGCAATCTTCAGCTCTCTAGCAAGAAAAACTCGAAAAAGAATTATGGATGAGAACAAAAGTTTTAGATGCCTGTCCCTCGAAACTCGACTGTTTACAAAATACTGCTGACGACATTTTACATCGTGACTTTTTAGCCGCTTTAGCCTATATTTCACCAACCGCTCTGGTAGGTGTCAGACTTTGAACATAGTCTCTCATACAATGATCCCAGGAAAAAATCATAAATCATAAATCAACACTGCTAGAGCGACCCCAGACGAAAGCGACTCACAAGATTTTTCAATATCAGAGGTTTATCAATAGATCTGAGGCTAAAATCTGCCAAATTATGACGTGATTGCAGGGATCTGACCTATCAGGAATATAAAGGAACAAGGTTGAAATTTTGAATTTTGTAAACGCGTGATTAGATACACATGCAACTATAAATTTCACTAAGCCTAGTTGCTATAACTATCATTCTCAAATTTCTAGATTGCTGCGATAAATTCGAAGAAAGGTAAAAACAAGGAACCTGGATCATCGATAGGATCTTGGCAATAGACGTTGCATGGTCCAGCACCGTTCGGCGATCGAGGAGCAACACGGTGTGACATTTGGCTCATTACTGCAAGAAGAAATAATATCGAAAAAAAATCGAGAAAAAAACACGATCAAATGCGTGCACACTAAAAAAACAATGATGAAGATCTGGTTAAGATCAAGATATCTGTGGGATTTTGAGCAAAATTTCATCTAATGAAAAGAGAAAAAAGATACAAATCGGTTTTAAGAGAAGAAATGGCATCATTCTTATTAAACTGAGCATGTAGACAGATGATGAACAGCTAGCGATGTGCGTAACCTTGGAAAAAATGCTTGAAGAACGGCGAACGCTGCGCTCGTTTTTCAACACGTGATCGTACACACACCCTAAGGAGGTCGATTGTTGGCCGAAATTCCAAGAACCAAGGGATGAATGAAAACAGGAAGAGAGGGCAAACGCGAGGGAGGAAGAGGATTGCCGAAAATAGCTAGCTGAGCTCTGAAGGACTAAACAGATGTTCTAATTTTTTTAATCAGAGAGGGACCGGCTATAAAAAGCAATTTTTGTAAGAAGTTTAAACTCACCATTTTCAAACAGAAGAAAATTTTACTCGATTGTTACAACCATTTGAAATTTTTTCAGAGTTAGAGCAACGACCTTGGTGCATCAAGAGGTAATTTTCTCCAAATTTTCGCTATTTTTCAAAGCCGAAGAAAATCAAGAATGGTCTTCGGATGAATCCTAAAAATTAGCTCCCAAAATTGCGGAGATAAGACTTGGAGGCCGGTTTTTCTGGACCAAAATGAGATATAGAGAGAATAGATCAGTTAAATAGTTATAAAGGTTCTTGGGCAGCTCAAAAGATCGTTTCCTTTACTTGGTGATAAAATCTATTTGGATGACCGTCAAGCAGTAAGTGTGATAAAAGTGCTTTTCTCAATATCGATAACTCGACTGAGAAGAGACTGAGTTCCTCAGCCTTCGTTAGTTTTATGTTGTTTGTTGATGGAAACCGATAAGAGTACACTGTACTAAACTGAAGTGGAATGTAGAGAAGAGGACAAAAATTTTGTAATAAGGTTCTAGAGAGCTATTGTGCCACAATAAGTGGACTGTCAGCGGAAGAGAAAAAAAGGCGCGAACAGGAAAAGAGAATAGGAAAAGCATGACCACACAAAAGGCAGTCTCCATACATAACAATATGCTATCATATGATGCACTTTTACAACAATATCGAAGCCAGAAATTGTACGATTCTGGCTTTGTAAAGAAGCGGCTAGGAACACACATCATACAATGCGTCATTTCGATTCTTAAAACTTTGATGGCATCGACGCCGCAAAGGGCACCAGCAGTACGATCACATTAAGTTCTATCTAGGCCATCAACTCGCTTAATATGTCTGCACATTTGATGAAGCGAAGATAATGAGAGTAAAGTCATTACGCTCAAGGAAAATGCAGATAAAAGCAGTTTTAGCGCTATTTTTAGACCCTCCCCCTCTAATTTCTGCATCTCAAAGATCACAAGCATATCAAACCGGTTTGGCCACACCAAAAACATTCGCTTAGAATACAGATGTTCCGAAAAAGTAGAACAGCGTGACGCGCCATCATGACGTACTGAAGCGGAGGAGTTTAGAAGATCAAACACCAGAAGATCGTGAATACAAAAGCAAGCTACTTATCTTCAGCGCTAGAATCGTGTAGTTCAAGTCATAATGAATCTGAGAGCTACGGGAAGAGAAATAATAGATTGATACTTGAGTCTAACTCAGAAAATTTTGATTGGACGCATAACAGATCTAGAAAATCTTACTCTTTCCAGAAGTTTGAAAAACTGCTCCTTGCTGGATTGCAGGGATATAAGCTGATTGAGAAAAAACTCGAAAAGAGGTTTTTGTGAAATTTCGACAGCTATAAATGCCGAAGCGTGCACTTTAATCGAATTTGGGCTTGGTTTCGGTTTTTGACCAGCAATTCTGACCGAAAAAGGGGGCTCATCGCAAGTTCCTACGAATATATAGAATCTCCTTGTTGTTTTCGAAGTAAGTCCACAACTTTTTGACAATCCAAACAAAATCTTCAGTGAAAATAGATAACATGATCAAGGTGTTATTCGTGCATTTCTGGACTGAATTCTTCATATTGTTGACTGAGATGTGCGTCAAACTAATACTTATTGCCAGCACAAATATCATGCTCACCCCCTCAAAGAAAAAAAGAGAGTCTCAGCGAACAAGTTATTCTGACCAGCAATCTGGCAAAACTTCAGTCGCAAAGAGTAAATGAATAAAACAAAGATAAAAAGAAATACGAATTAAAAAAGTGAGATATTGACAAGAAGACCAAATAACCAACTCAACCCATAAGCTTTGATTGATGTGGTTAGAATGAGGAAAGAACGTTAAGAACGAGGAAAATGGCCCATAAAATGAAAGATAAATGTTGATTGGAATGATCCTGATTCGCAGTGGAAAGAAAAAGAGAAACTAGCAGTAGAAAGGAAAAAGAGAAAAGCTCCCAGCTAAGAATCAGAGAGGGTACTAACACTATTTTCAAGCTAAGGGAAAAACCTTTACAGCATTGCAAAAAAAGGAAAGAGTAAAAATAGTTAATACGTCACAGCTGATCAAGTCTCTGTATTTTTTCAGGACCCGCAGAAAAAAATAATGACGCGACACGGTAGCCGAATGCACTGACCGCTTCTGGAAAAAAGCGTGCGAAAATGACAGCCAGCCGGTTTTTTCTCTGACGTGACTCCAACACGATTTGACGTGTTTTGAAGAGGCCGTAGACAACACACACGCGCGCCCGGTGGGCCGCGCAGTAAAGAAATAGGCTAATTTTCTAGCACAACAAACTCGCGACTTTTAACTAGTTCTCGGCTATTTTAAAAAAAAAACTCTTATCTGTGATAATACTAAGCCATTCTCGTAGGTTATACATTAGATTTTGAGACGACGAGGGATGAGATCGGGAATACCGCGGTTGTTGCAGTCTACTACTCGATCAATAATCAGTGATAGGCCAAAAGCTTCAGTCAACATCGATGTTCAGATGATAACAAATGATAGACCATGTACACAGCAATACTGTATCATAGGGCGCTTGTAAAAATGCAAAACAGTTCATTGTTAGATTCGCTCGAAAGAGGATCGATGAAGGGAGCACTCGAGGTGCTATGCGCGTAAATCGTGTGTGATTTCCCTGATGTTTTTCGCTGTTTGACAACATAATGCGCTGATCACATACTTCTTCCCAATCGCTAACGGTCTTAACACATTCACGACAATACGACCCACCGGTGGGTCGTACGTGTTCTGCCATTTCGGACAATACGACCCACCGGTGGGTCGTATGCTTTCTGAAGTTTTTGATTTTGCTAGTTCACGGTGAAACTTTTTAGACAAGCCGAGTAAACTCCTGCATACACCTCTTAGAGTACTTCCCAAAAGATTAACACTTCAGACTACAGGGCCCATCATTGACCTAAAAATATTCCGCAAACTCAGTTTTGCGAAATACGCTCTGGTCCGAAATGGCAGTCAACGAAAAATCGGCCCTGTCGTGAATGTGTTAATTGGTACTATGCGCGGCCGCAGCGTCTACAGCTCTATGGCATGTCGTGAAGGGACCATGTCTGTCCTCGGCGCAATGTCTTCGATCTCTGGCTGGCAAAATGCAGTAAATACATCAGCGCGACACACTGCGAACATGCAATTTCCCACAATGTTTTGGTTCCATCCCGATGGGACAGGTGTAAGGAAGGTCATACAACTGCCTTAACTGAATATATTATTTTCAAGGTGAACGCAGGTTGATACGTCTCGTCAGACATGGCGAAACTTTCTTGGTAATGTAATTAGATATTCTGATCTAAAACATAGGTGGGTGGAGTGCTTGTTGTTATGCTATGTCTCGCCATCAACACTTATGATGTTTGCACAGCGGAGAAACAAAATAAGGCAATGCATGCTTTTAGCAAATTATTTGCGTTCTTGAGGACCACCTACGCCTCGTAGGTCGCACCAGAAAGATGAAAATTCAATTTGTAGCTTGCTGCTTATTGTTAGTAGATTTCAAACTAGATGGAGAGAAATGTTCCATGTGTCAAAAGTGCTTCAGATGAAGAGGATCTACAGAAGAAACATTTGTCCTCGCAAAGCTGAGCGGGAAGCTTCAACCAACATTCCTAACTAAATTTGCACAGCTTAACAAATAATCGGTGAATCAAGCCCATAGAACGACTAATTAGTGACACAGAGACTATAATTGGTGCAATGCGGTTTATTGCACTATGTAACATAGTGATAATTAATGCCAAATTTCCATAATCTCGAATAATTCGAGTATTATTTGAAAGCACAATCGAGTGTGTTAATAGATAGATAAACGGGTGATTAGATAATCAAATAACTAGCTGCTCTATTTTAGGTGTATCAGCCACGCTCTGTTTGCCTGATGGAGTCCGCACTAGATTTTTAGCGAGGATTGTGCGACCGCTTCGCAAGGCATATACGTAGCGAAGCCCCGCCTATGCTTGCGTAAAAGCAGGAGAGAGTTGTCCGCGTACTAACGCCTTTCCAACGATGTGCCAGCATCATACAATGTCGTGCAGGAAAAAGATGGATGCGCCTCGTATGCCCTACCTCAACTAACTAAAAGATTGATCGACACAAACATGGAGGCTTTCAAAGATCGTGCAACAGTGAGGTGGGTCATTGAATGTAGTGATGGAAATAGAAGAGATTCTCGTCCCTAGCACACAAATTATAGATTACACTAAAAGAAGAAGGGCGAGAAAGTAAAATAGGCACAAAGTTAGTGGTTAAATCGTAAAGTATAGTTAATTCGTTGACCGCACGGACTGGACATCGCTGCAGAGCACGCGCCGCGAGTAAAACGCTTGCTCCAGCAAAAATTCGCTATTGTACAAGTTATGCTCTCGCGACAATTCAGCCGCGCCGCGCGTGGACCGCAGGGTTTGAGCAGTCCGTGCGGTCAACGAATCGACGATACAGTAAGTTTCGACCCGCTTTAGGCGGAAATTGGATTGGCGGGAGTCCGCCTCGCAACAGCTCGCGCCGTTTCGCAGCCACAGTATATCCTATCGTGCTGAGAACCCATGCCTGCGTCTCTTCAATCTCCCTAGTCTTTGCTTGGCAAAATGCCAGCGCTATGCGCTCGCAAAACCTCCAGCGATGCGCATGCGCTGCTCCACGTAGAATGTCTCGCCTAATCCGGGATGAAACCGACTGTACAAGCGACTCGATGAGCCGCCATTCCTATACCCTGGCGCAATATCGTGTAGAGACCTGTGGCCGTATTCATCAATGAACCCGGTGGGTTCCGCTACCCAGCGGGTAAGCGAAAACGGCGCCACCAGTTGGATCGATATTCACAAAAAGCACTGCTGGGCTTGCGAACCCGCTGGCTTCGTGAATACCAATCTCGTGGATTAAGCTTACCCACTAATTAGGGAACCCGCTGGTTTGTTGATAAATACGGCCACAGTACTGGCCTCTACTATCGCGTAGAGGTTGCGTTTTCCACATGCGACTAGGAAATAAGCCCAAGCGAAAATCATAGAAACGTCAAATATTTGAATCGGCCGGCGATGACTAC